AATGGCATTCAAAATTAAAAACCGCCAACTATCGACTTGGATGGTGTTGTTAGATAAGCGTCGATATCCGTGAAGAGGTGCAGAAAATATAGTTTATTAAATGTGATCAAATTGTTAATAATACGAATAATTTGTAAGCTTTTGATAATTTCGTTCAAAATACTCTAATAAATACAGTAAGAACAGACCAATTTGTGAATTAAGATTTCAAAGAGTTTTCATACCAAAGTAAATCAAATCTATTTATCATAATGCTTTTATCCCTGACTAAGCTAAAAAAGCTACCAAAAAAACTACACAAGTATTATATCCAATACTGATTCTACTACTGGACTACAATATAAAAAAGAAATATCTCTCATAAGTCTTGTACTGTCTTACCAAGCCGAGCAATTCGCATTCGATCCTAACAGACATCAGAAATTTTTTAATTTCTAATTTAACTGAACCCGCCACCCAACTAATAATATCGATATTACACCTGTATGATATTAATGATACAGCTTAGGTTGGTTGGCAGCACTAGGTGTGAAGGCAGGGACGCCAGACATCAGCTGTCAACAGGTTAACTAGATTAGCATATAGAACATAGGTTTTAAGATGAACATGTTGTGAATAGACCTTAGACAAGGAAAAGTAACACTCGTTCAACCAACCTTCAAAAAGTGAAGCCACTTTTCGATATGTCCGCCATTTTTTTGGTGGCAAACAATTGACATCAGTTTTGTTTTTGTGTTTTTTTAAAAAAAAACTTTTTTTTTTACTTAACAAAATGATGAATTGTGCATATATTCTTTGTAAAAATAGCAGCGAGCAGAAAATACCGGGAATATCGTTTCATAGGTAAATATTTATGGAATGTCATGGGTAAATATTTATAATAGTGCAATTAGATATTAATTGATTTTACTTTTTATTTCAATTGTAAACCTCAAAACCAATTTAAATTAGTATTTTAAGGAAAGGTGAGATCTAAATTAGTAAATAAGAATGCTAAAATATGCATAGTTATTTCAGTAATTATATTATAATTAATAATTTCACTCACACACCATGATGATTTTTAAGTGGTGATCTGCGTTGAGGGTTAAACTTCCATAAAATATTCCATAAATAAGTAAATAAATAAATAAATTTTGTTAATTTTGATTCCAAAATATTTGTATAAAATAAAATAAATAAATAAAACATTTAATGTGCAAAAATGTTTCATTTTAAATACGAATTAGTCAATCCTTAAAAATACAAAGATACACCGCTGACCACTTCCTTTAGTGGCAGTTTGACTTCACTTTTAGCGATGCGGTTACGCGTCCTCTCTCTTTCCTTGTCTAAGCTAAGGTCTTTATCGACATATGATTTGCGAGGTTATGTAATTGTTTATTATTCACTGAACAGCACTAGTTCCCTTTAAAACATGGCGGGACGTCTGCGCGAACGAGATGCGCGTACTTGCCTATAAGTCATAGTAAAGAGTGACTTGTCAATTAGAGGGCGGAGCTAATTTCTTTATTGTTCTGTGGAATCATCTTTTAGTGGCTTAAATATGATATCAAAGGATGTTATGTTAATTAGTACATCAAATTGGAGTTGTCGTGATTTTGCAAACAAGTTAAAGGCAATATTAAAGTAATTTCATGTAAAACGGAGCTAGCTACAAATCAAAGGGATCTTATTATGATATAAAAACATTTGTAATTTTGTTGCTTGCAGTCTAAAAAAACTATAAATCTTTGATAAATCCACAAATTGTTCCGTTTTCTTTTGTGTGAATAATCAGTTACGCAAATAAAAAAAAAACTATAACAAAACATTTTTTAACCCAGTCACTAGACTTCTACGAAATAAATTAAAAACTAACATTGCTCGACTTAATCATTTTTGGATGAAACAAGGACGTATCTTAGGCCGATAAGAGTTGCCTGATTTCTGAGTTCTCGGTTGATTCCAGATAGGTCTTACCGTCAGGAGCGACTCCGTCTTTTTTGGCTCCTTTGTCTAACAACAATTTGACACAGTCCTTGTGGCCTTCCCATATTGCTGCCAAAATGGCTGTGATGCCAAATTTGTCTTTCGTCTGAAACAGTAAAAATTAAAAATAAAGAAATTACAGGATTAGATTGTGAGATATATGTATCAGGGAGTAACAGCTAGTGTTACGACATGAGTAATATAAATTTCATGTGAAAGAAAGATTATATCAAGGCTCAGTCCTTATTTATTTTCATTAGTTTTGGATCAGGTAACAGGAAAAATTCAGGGTAGCATTTTTTTATGCTTAGTGTATGCTGATGATGTAGTATTTTAGTAGAAAATAGTAAAAGTGACTTAAAACAAAAATTGGAACTGTGGAAACAGGAAAAAACCAGAGCATCTAGAATATTATGAGTAATATATAGAGGAGTTACTACTATACTATACTATACTACAAATAAGGTAAGTGTGGATAGTGAAAAAATTGTGAATTTAATAGTTGTAAATATCTAGTGTAGTTACTACAGAGTAATGAAAAAATATATGTAGATGTATGCAGTAGAGTTAAGGTGGAGAGTAGTGTGTTGTGTGACTGAAAGATTCCCATGAAAATGAAAGGAATATTCTATAAAACTACTAAGACCAGTTACAATGCATAGAACTGAATGTTGGGCATGACAATGCTTAGTTGGATAACTGGTGTGACAAAAAAGGGCATGTTCAATAAAATAATTTATAGACCTAATAAAAAAAACTCTCCTCTTCTTATAGACTGATATTAATGTCTTGCATATGCAAGACATTTAATAAAACTTATTAAAACTCTGTTAGAATGGCTTATAGAACATTATAGTATTCTCCCAAGTACAGAATATGGATTTATTTTATTTATTTATTTATTTATTTATTTATTCATTCCAACGGTAGAACCATTTACAATAAAATACATCAAAACAATAACAAAGAAACAAGTAAACAGTTAAAATTTGTACACTAAAACAATATATCATATCACAAAAATTTTAAAAAGTATCAGTATCACATAGTAAGTATCACATATCTAGATTAATAGTCAGATTCTTAAGTTGCCTTTTAAAAGCATAACAATTAATTGAAATATAATTGTTAATATGAACTTGCTGTGTATGTCCCATCAGAAAACTTTTAATCCAATTAACAATGGGGTAACCAAAGCCAGATGCATGAAGTTTGTGGACTAAAAGATTATGATTAACCTGGTCAAAGGCCTTTGAGAAATCAGTGTAAACGCTGTCAACCTGAATTTTATTCTCAAATGCACCCAACAAGTATTGTTCGTAATTGAGAAGGTTTGTTACAGTTGATTTCCCATTAGAAAAACCATGTTGTTCATCAATAATTATGTTTCTGCAAGCCCAGGTGAGATTTATCGATACCAATTTATCAAGAAGTTTCGGGATTGCTGATTGAATAGTTATACCTCTATAATTGTTAACACACTCGCGATTGCCAGATTTATAGATAGGTGTAAGAAAACTATTTTTCCAATATTGTGGAAATACAGATGACAACGATAAATTGAAAATTTGTTGTAAAGGTTTACAAAGGGAAAAAATACAGTTCTTAATAAGTGCTGCAGGTATACCATCAGGCCCTGAAGAATATGTAGTTTTTAAACTGCTAATCCCCTCGAAAACATCAGTCAGACTAAACTTCAGACTCTGGAAATCCACATTATAGTCCAATTTAAAATTAGGTATATTACACTCACTATCATTATATGTACCTGAAAAATAGCTGGCAAATAAATTGACTATTTCATCATTATTCTGAGCTATTAATAATATGGATTTAGTAGTATGGTAATCAAGTTAAAGTATAAATAACATGCATCAATGTTTCAAATGTATTTGAACAATCCCCAAACTTCGTAGGAAATAGATAAAAGAAAGAGAGAATAAAAGATACATCCCATCAAATAAATATTGGACATTGATATGTTATTCAAAATCACCAATATTTAACACACTACTTGGAGGTTCACTTCCAGCCGATGGAGATGATGTACAGATAAGAAACGTTGTTGATTCATGCCAGTGCTGTACAGCTAAAGTGTTTATTATTTTACGAAGTATAATTAAATACCTAATATTAATAATGTCCAATTCATGTAAATATGTAATTAATATTGCTTCCCATATTTAAAAAGCATATGATATGTGGCATATAATACTACCTCCAGATAAATAACTATAATGTTTGCTGTTCATGGTAATTCTCGCTTTTTTGTAAATATATAAAATACATTGTAGATTGCAAGATATACTTTTATATAGACTAGCCCAAAGAAAATGGTTACCAATATTCTTACATTTACGTCTGCTCCTGCGGAGATAAGGTACTCTATTACATCTGCTTGACCATAATCTGCAGCATATAAAATAAGAGGACGTCCCTGCACTTCTTCATTTACATTTACAGCCTACAATGCAAGATATAATTACAATTATACAAAAATATTCGAAATAATGCCAACATACTTTTTTCTCGATAATATCTTTTACTTGTTCCAAATCTCCGTTTTTTATGGCCCATACGAAGTCACTACTCATTTTGATTCAGTAAAATCTCCTTTCTGTGAAAATTACTCCTTTTTTACAAATAGGTGACAGACCGACGACCGTATACCATTTGACTTTGACATTAATGACAATGACATTTAGCACTCGAGATATCGATGGCACAAAATATTATTCTGTGTGGATGGCTTGGTCACGTCTGTGGTCATAGTGCATTTCATAAAATAATCCACATGTGCAAAGTAATTTTATGACATATAGTGACAATCACAGCACTCATACTCACGTTTAATTTATCTGTGGTAATAATGAACACCGCCACAGATCAATTTGTGAACACCGCGCAGGAAGGAGACTAACAATGCCACCAAACGGAAGGGTGCTCAAATCGTGCGTTTCCTTGGCTATCATTGTTGCCAATCTGTGGTTTGTAGTAAAGTAGTTTGCAATGAAATGACGTATTTGTCGGTTTGTGCTTGTGATTTGTCTGTCATTGGTCGTTTATCGTTTAGATAACATAACCTTAGAATTTTGTTTGATACAATAAAAATAAAACTGACAAATATTTTCAAATAAAAACTTCTTACATCTTGTTTTATGAAGTGGTAAAACGTTAAAAAATATATACACAATGGCCTCTGGATTGGATTCTTTTGTAAATCGTATCCTTTTTCATTAAAATAAATATAATATAGTGTTTACTACTTATGGTGTTGAGTTTTTACTTGTATTGTATTCATTATATTTCAATATTGTTCCCTTTTGAATATTATTCCTTAACATATTACTAGATATGGTGTCAATAATAACAGCTGATGGAAGAAATTTCATAGTAAGTTTATAACAAACATTTTAGAGTTTTAGACAAATATTAATACAGTGCACTTTTTAGGGTACATTAAAAGGGTTTGACCAGACTATCAACATAATATTAGATGAATCTCATGAGAGAGTTTATTCAACTACTTCAGGAGTAGAACAAGTTATGTTGGGATTGCATATAATAAGAGGAGATAACATGTGAGTTGATATAGATAATGTTCGTTTAATTATGGTAGCACTGGGCATATTGATATTTATTTATATTTGATATTAATCATTGAATAACTCATTTACAAATTAAGTTATTTGAATTTTACTGTAGGAATATGATAATTTAACAAACATAATATTTTTTAGTGCCTTAGTTGGATTAATAGATGAAGATATAGACAATAGACTGAATCTAGCTAATATAAAGGCAGAACCACTAAATCCAGTTGTACATTAAGAATAAATTACTTTGTAAGCAATATGTGTTTTATTTCCCCCTAAGTACTTATCAATATTTATTTTACAAATATGGCACAGAAAATGAATTTATTAAAAGTATCATATAGGGCATTAATTCTTCATCAGGTTTGTTCTCTGACACTGATGGACCATTCATAAACATTGAAGCATTGTAGGATATGGGATAAATCATCTCCAATACGCCTGGACAGCTATGTACTTTATTTCCATCTATTTAAAAAATATAGTGAAAGATATCATTCAGGAAATATAAGCAATAAAAACAGTAAAATTTAGAAGTGTCAATGCAAATATTAGTAAAATTTAAATAAATATCATAATCAAGATTTTATTTATCTATCTATACCAAAAAAAAATTAGACCATACCATACATAACATTCCTCTACATATTAAGAATTTAAAGATGATTTTAAATTTTATAGAATTTATTCTTGAATCTTGATGCTAAAAGCATAAAGAGCGTCTAGATGGGGAACTAAAAACAGGGAACTGCGTTCGTAGTTCTCTGCTAAAAACTTAATCCCGATCATTTCATGGAATGTTCATAAATAATCACAAGCTATAAACAAGTTGACATGACAGTGCACAGTATATACCACACATAGTAGTGTAAGTGGAATACGATAAGTAGTTAGAGTAAATTGCTTGGGTCCAACCGTTCGTAATGGCGACAGCGCTACTAGTCACGATAGGTGGGTCATGACCAAGGTTAGTAAAAGGGTCAAAAGGGAGGTTGCATGGTAACTCTGACATTGACAGAATGAAATGTGACGTCACCCAAGGGGTCAAATTTACGAATTATTTGAAAACAAAATAGGAGTGGTTTGGAGAATATATTTTGTTGTTAAATATCGTTAGTGCTTTAGTTTATGTTAATATCATGAGATTTAATGTGTCTATAGATATTATTGAGTGATTTTTAGTTGGACTCAAAACTCTTATACAAGTGTTAAGATACATTTAACGTGATTGTGTCTTACTGGATTTTATTTCTGCTGTATTATATAGTAAAGGTAACATTGGGATTAATGCAGAAAAAACATAACTTAATTCAATATTTTTATTGATTCAGATGATTGGTGGAAATATTTGTAGTGTAGCAATCTGCAAAAATAATTCAAAAAATTTCAAAAAGGATGGAAGGAATTTAATGTTTTTTAAATATCCAAAAAATGTAATGTAATGTATTATATAATCTGTAATGTAATCAGATGTTTCTTAAATATATTGAAGTTAAGAAAAAAACCAATAATTCTGATATATAAATCTTTAGTTGAATCTCCTTTTCAGCATGGTTTACTTGTTTAGAGGAATTTATAATAATCCACTATATGCATTATCCTCAATTCAAAATAGTTAAAAAAAGTAAATTGTATTCAATCCATTATTAATATAGTATATTAACATGTTTTAGTCACATGTATACACAAGAAAGAATCTATTTCCAATTTAATATAGTAATGCTATTCTACTACATATGTTTAGCTATATAGTATATTTTATGATTTCTGTAACTTTGCAGGTACTTATCTCCCACATTTTTTAAAGATTGAATGAAATAAATAGTTATTAAAGTCCATACGTATTTTTTTTAATATACACAGATTAATATATTTACAATCATGGCTGCTTTCCGAGTTCATTTCAAGGAGTAAAGTGAATAAATTTGAATGTAGCATTCTTAGTGACGTCATTCCCGCCATTAGATTCTCGATGCTGATTGGTGTAAAGTTACCAGACAACCTGTCTATTTTTAATAACCTTGGTCGGAACCTACGTTTTAAATTTGCCGTCGAATGAAATTGGTTTCGGCCCGTCCGCATTTGGCGCGACAAACTGTCTCTCAAATCTTTCTGTAGGACTTACCTTACAGAGGGCTGTGTACTGTGCTAGTGACAGCCAGAAATGCCAGCTACAATACGCTTCTTAGCTTAGCTTATTTTTTTTTTATAAATTGTGATTGCTTCGGTATGGCAATATACAAAATAAGCGTGTAAACAACTTTTATTATAAATTATAAACTAATCATTGCCCGAAGTTTTCTATACATATAAGTATAAAAAAGACGCATATTTCTGTTTAAAAATTGTGTAGATGCTTTCAGTTTTAGATACTTTTATAACAAAATAGGAGCAATTGATACCGGTTAGGTTAACACTAAGTTTTCTTTATCATGGAAGTTAGTGAAAATGATCAAGATGATTGTATGGAAATTGATGACTCTATCCCAGAAACCTCTATTATCGAACGTAAATCAGATCAATTTGAATCATCAGAAGGAAATACCACTACCAGTACTGTGGAAACGGAAAAAACTGATTCTAATGCAAAAATTGATGAATCTTGCGAAAACAAAACAAATGCTGATGTAAATACAGATTTAACCACGGCGTCTACGGCTACGACTGAGCAAGTTGAGCAACCCGCAGATAAGCCGGTAGAAAATGTGAAAACATCAGAAAATCAAAAAGAAAAACCAGCACCTGTAGATGATGGTGAAATTGTTGTATTGGATGATGACGACGACGATGATATGCAGGGAGGTATGTATTTAGTACACTAACTAAATTTACATTGTATTTATAATTTCTGTTGTTTCCTTCCTAGAACTTAACTTAATCATTTGTTTTTTTCAACAGTTTTACTGGTTTCTTAAGATTTTACGAACTGTTTCGATGCTATTAGAATTTTAAAATGTTTTTATAGACATATTTAATGGGGTTTAAACTTAAATTTCAAAACTTTTTGATGCTATTATAGCTATTAGAATGATTTTTACGCTCCTTCACCAATTTTTTGTCTATATTTAACACTTTTTCACTCCTTTCCATAACATTTTCTGATGGCGATGTGTAACCCTGAATGTACTGGTTTTGTTAGGTATTTAAGGATCAAACATCAAAGTGTGCTGAAGTACATATACCTGTGAAAAACCTACTCATGCGATAGGTACCACCTTTGAAATGGATTGGGAGAATCTTTTTTTTATTAATAAAACCCAATCTGAAGGATTTTTAGCTGATATGTTGCTTTTGATGGAATTTTAATCTATTTTACATGCCATAGATGAAGGAATGCTAAAAGCAATGCAAAAAAAGTTTCTTCAAGGTGTTCTAAATAAGACTAAGATCACAAGAAAACACATCTGTACAAAAGGTGGCTGTTGGACAGAAAAATTATGTCATTTGGGATACTAAATGGTCAACTACTTACCTCATTCAGATTTAGACAGGTGCAACTGTTTTCTGTTCCCAAACTTAAAAAATGGCTCAGAGGACACTATTTTGTGTTGAATGATAAGATTATAGCCAAATTATTTTGATAAACTCTATCAAAATTCCTTTGCAGAAGTGATATAAAGTTTGGAAATGGTCTTATCAAGTATATGAAGCAAGTAGGATATACTAGGTTAAAAAAAAGAACAGTATGTATTGTAAGACTATCTACAAAATAATAATGATTTATTGATTAAAGACAGTTTGTATAAATGATTTGATAGTTAATAGCTAGTATATGCATTCAAAACTAAGGTTAATCATTTAGGAAATAACTGTCCCTGGAGAGTCTTTCAATGATTGGTTTTAGAATAAGCTGATCACAGACGTCCCTAAAGATCAAAAGATTTCATTTTTGAAGAAGTTTTTTTGTTGATTTTTACATTTAGATCACCTAGAATGATTTTTAGGTAGTTTTTGGGACAATTATTGTATTTTCATTCGACTTCGTTATAGGAAAGTTCTTTATCATCCTCTATTTTATTTATAATGATATACTTATTTAGTGTAATTGAAAGGAAAATACAGCTCATAGTGTGATATGATGAGGGTACTCTCTCAGCGATTCTTTCAAATTTTCAATTTTCAGAGATATTCAATTTAATAATTTTTTTTGCAGGTACCAATAAGCCAAATAACACAATTGCCATTGAAGATATCATTGACTTGGTTGATAAACCTGCCAATCTCCGTTGTATTAACAATAACTGTGAAGGAACATACACCGATTTTATACTTGCTCCAGATTTTTGTCTTTCTTATTACAGAGTCAAGCGTTCGAAAAGTAAAAAGGAGGAACTTTGCGTAGGTTGCTATGATAAAGCTGTAAGTAATTTTGATGAACTTACGACCAACCTGAAAGAAAACAAATTGATATTAAAATGTAATTATCCCATAATGAATGAAACACTGCAAATCGAAGATAGCGATGAAGAAGAGGAGGAGGAAAAAGAAAATGTGAACTGGAATAAGAAAAATGTCAAATTTATATGCAACCACTTCTATGATGTTATAAACAAAACAGTGGGGAAACTGAACGGTGAAGAGATAATAAATATGGAAACTGCATATGTAAAATTCGAGAGTAATCAATTAGAAGGTAAGTTTTTATTTAATATTCATTTATATATAATTTTTATATTTATATATAGATGGAAACTATCATAGCCCGCACAAAAGTAGGTAGAAGGTTGACCATCAGGCTAGTGTGTTCCTGTAAGAAGAACCATTGTCAAAATAACTGATGCAAAATCTCAGATCAAGACTGAAAACCGAAGACAAATGATGCCATGGAAAGGGACAAGTAATTTAGGTACATAGAATGTACACAGGATATCCCAAAAATGAATGAGATTATCCACAAAGTTAGCCAACGGGAAATGGATCTACTGATAACAATGAAAATGAAGAGAAAGGGACAAAACTCAGAAAACCAGTAGCAAATGTGAGCAAAGAAGGAAGTATCTATTATAAAACATAAAAAACTGTGTAAAAATATCACTTTGCAGGAAGTAATTGCTGGAAGAACAATTAAGATGAATGTGTGTATATTTGGATCCAAAATTACATTCCTTGGAATTTAAGAAGTTAATACTAGAAAGAAAGAATAAAGACAAAAAAGACTTCACAACTTAAAAGTGTTAAATAGACACTTGAAGCATTATAATTCCTTCCTATAATATCAAAGGTATTTGAGAAATGTTTGATACCAATGATAGTCAAGTATTTCATATCCAAAAATTTGTTTACAAATAGTCAGTTTGGTTTTAGAAGGAATCTAAATACAACAAAAGCTGTCTGCTATATTCTGTGACCTGAGTAAAGCATTTGATTATATTTCACAGGAACAGCTTCTCAGAAAATTGGAGAGACATGGGTTTGGGGGTACTGGCATTGCAATGATCTCAAGCTATCCCTATAATAGAAAACAGAGTTCGCAGATGGGTTGAATGGTACAATTCACTCAATATTTTTTTATTTATTGCACCACCAACGAATTCATTGTTGATGGAAAAAGTGAAACAAAATCTTCTATTGTAAAATCAAATTTCAACTTTATTTGTAATACATACTATGTTTTAGTTAATCAGAAGGAAGTGACAAAGAAAGCTTCTGAACTAAGGAAGTTCTTTGATCAAATCCAACTAAATTTGTACAACCAGTTCAGACCGGAATTAAGTCCTTTAAAAGGCCTTTCAATAACTGATGACTTTAATGTGGCTCCCTCCTTAGTAGTAAGAACAGGTAAGTAACTTGAGTTTCATGACTTTATATATTTCCATACTAATTTTAACCAGATAATAATCTAGGGAAAATGCTGTGATGATAATGTTGTCTATTTTAGAACCAAGCATGGAGTTAAGTCCTAGAAAAAGTTCCAGATCCCACAAACCTGTTTCTTACGTTGAACTGGATGATCCCGGCAATTCCAATAGCCCTAAAGTGAATATATCTCCTGACGTGGAGATTCCCAAGGATTTACCACCTGTGGGTCCCGTTGAGAAGATTGAACCAAAAATTGGTAAGTTATTTGCGGAAGAAAATTTCATTGAATGCTTTTGGAACTTTAGATTTTGTTATCTTATTATAATAAAACAAAATTGCAACTTATAATCTGTCAATGTTTTAGTTTTCTCAACATTGACAAACACTTTATTGGCAATATTGTGACTATTTTGTATCTTTTCTATTTCATTAGTGTTTTAAAGTCCAATATCATGCTTTTGTCTTCTTTACTTCGAATTTCTCATGACAATGTTGCCATTTTGGTTGTTTTTAGGTGAAATTTACTACATAGTCCGAGAAAATTTCCAGACCAATTGGATAAGAGCTCGCCTACAAACTAAAATACCTCCAGGAGTCTCTCACAATGGCGAAGTATACTCGACCACACTTTACAAGTTAGTCGAACTTAAGCAACAGAAAGAACGACTTATTAATGGCAAATATATAGCACAACTTCATCACAGCAGAAATCGCTTGTTGCCAGTCGGTACGCGAGTTATATCAGTTTTTAGAGAGTGCTCGACAGAAGGGGTCAAGAAGCCAAGAACTGATCCGTACTATGCTGGAATTGTGGCGGAACAACCCTTTGAAGGGAATAAATATCGGTAAGTATATACATGATTAGCATATATGTACATGATATTTCCAGATTGCTCTCACATCTATATATAATTCGTTATTTTATGTACATTTATGTACAATTCATTTTTTTTTCGCTGAAGTTACACTAATAGAATACTGAGTCTTTTGTGTAGTAGAATTTCAAAATTTTAGGTACTAAATTCTGAGAAATGATCAGTTAAACCACAACGTAAACAAAAACGGAATTATCAATCATATAATAGAGCTCAAAACACATACAGATTGAACCAAATTAAAACGGAACATACAATTTAATACATTATTATTTGTATTATTTAATACATAAATAGTTGAAAATATTTACATTTATAGGTAAAACAATTATAATATTAATTTTATTCGTCATCAATTACATCTTCATCGTGATCTATGTCATCCTCATCTTCTTCAATTATTGGTGGACTGTTATTGCACCCTTCACCTGATCACCCAGAACAAGTAGAGTTACAGTATAAACCAACTTTTCTGCACTCACATGAAACGCCGCATCCTTTTTTGCATTGGCAAAAAATAATTTTCAAAAGTTCATCGGGTGCAGGTTGTTTGTTCATGTGTACAGGTAATAACAAACCATCTTTGGAATACCATCCCCAATCTGTTGCTCTGATATTTCCATTGTCAAGCCATAGACATATGAGCAGATGTTTTATTCTGTTGTATGGGATTTCAAAATAAGAACGCTTAAAATTTCGGATGTATAACGCCCCACTAGCTAATATACCGGTATTGTAGATTATTATGCTCCGAAATGTACTGTACTATACTAATGGAATTTTCCGGAAAAAAATTAACTGTTTTTTTTTAACGTATATCCTTTAATTTTTAACGATAGAGTGTTTCTTCAAAAACGATTTGTAGAGGTTTTTAAGAGCTACAAGGATCTGTGAATTAAATCTTTTTGGAACCCTTGGTTTTTAAATGCGGTGAGTTTAAAGGGCTCGAAAAAGATGGTGCTTGATCGTAAATCAATGCTTTAAACGGGTATATCTCGCCAAATGTTCATTGTACAACAAATCTAAATAAAGGAAAATTTTAGTCATTAAAAAAGGTACAATTTGGAAATTTTTATTTTTTTCATATATTTTTTTTATTTATTTATTTAATTAACGAATATACCATTTTTACATAAATATGACGTCAACCTTTACAAAGCTTAGGTATACATAGGTTGCGTTAATAAAAAACAAACCAAAATTAAAATCAAACAAAATTCAATTAAAATGGTAACTTAAGGTATTAAATAATGCTCAAAATCGCTCAAATGATTTCTTAAATGCTGCTGTAGATATTCCAAATAACTCTAAATTATTGCTGTGCTCATTAGCAGTTCGTAAAATTCTTGTAATGGGTTCATTTTGGCCATAATTCGTACTGTGGAATGGAATGTTGAAAATCTCAGTGTTACGAGTTCTTCGAGTATTAACATTAAAACTTATTAAACTTAGTAACTCTGGATCTTGAACATATCCATTTATAACTTTAAAAAGGAAACATAAATCCGCTTGACATCGTCTATCATGTAGTGATGAGATATTAAGTATTGACAGTATATCATCATATGTGTATTGCTGTCTAAGAAAACCAATTTTGTAAGCACATACCCTCAAGAATTTATTTTGAACTCTCTCGATACTGTAGATGTCACTGTTATATGAAGGAGACCAAATGAGAGAACCATACTCCAAAACTGATCGAACTAAACTAAAGTATAACATTTTTAAATTAAATTAAAGTATAACATTTATTCAGTATTTTCGGGCATATTTAAAAAAAGAAGGGTAAAAAATATGAAATTGTAAATCGTTTCTCGCTTTAAGCTGTACTTTTTCAAAAACTAAGCATTTTAAATGGGTCAAACTTCTTGGACGTATTAACAATACATGTACAAAGGGAATTGCAGAAGGGTGAAGATCGATTTTAATTATGGGAGTGGTTAGGGGGTTGTTTTCATCGATTTTTTCGTAAAAAAATGAGGCATTGACCTTATTTTCATCATAACTCACTCAATTTTTGAGCTAGAGTCCTTTTTATGATAGATCTATTTATGCTCTTTAAAAAAGGTTTTGTGAGTTTTCTTCCAAAAACGCATCATTTTCCCGATATTTGACTTTGAATCTTTCAAATTTGGCATTTGAAGAAAACCGCTGAACATTGATAGGAAGTATTTCGGTTCCTATTATATTGCAAAAACATTTTAAAAAATGAATTGTATTTGTCTTTTTAAAAGCTACAAATTTCTTCTCTATAATTTTTTTGATAAAATGCACCACTTTCAAGTTATTCGCGAAAAATCGATTAAAAATGTGGATTTTTTCGTCTAAAAGTTGTTACTTTCAATCGCGAATAACTTTGATAACGCGAAAAATATCATTTTATAAAAGAAAATGTATAGCACATTTTTTGTTTAGAATCACTTTTTTAATCGAAATCTGTAGTTAAAACGTAAAAAAAAATTCACCCCGGAGATGGGGTGGCAACTACCCCCTAGGCTTTGGCGCACTTTGGTTTGATATAGATTTTGATCCTTAGGCTATTACCTACCTTCTGTTAAATTTCAAGTCAATCCACGCAGCACGAAAAATTTGCGAGGTGAAATGCTACATTTCCTGGACTATAACTGGTTTGATAGCATAATAAAATCGTAGATTTATGTGTGGCTTTCAATTTTTATCAGAATCCAGCAGCCCGCTGAAGTATGGGATTTTTATAATATAATTATTTGACAATCTTTTGTTGGCCAATCACCTACAGCAGAATTGAGCCGAAATACATTATATTCCTATGTTCCGAATTTATTTCGTTCAATCTGTATACAACATATTATATAAACATACAGGGTGATTAATTAATGTGATAAAGTTCAGTAGATCCGCTATAATAATAGATGGCAATAAAAGTTAATGACAAAAATTATATACAACTTTGAGGTTCATATTAAAAAATTAGTTAGAATGTTACAGAGTGTTCGATAACATAGTGGCGGACCAAAGCTATGTATTTTTAAATGAAACACCCTGTATTTTTTATATTCGAAATTTTCTACTTCCCCATCACAACAATACACAGTTTTGTTATGTTATATAAGGTATTTAAAAAGTTATAACCAATTTTATGAAATGAAAATCGTAACAAGTTCAACTCCCTGTATAATTAAAAATAAGCACAATAACAATGATCTATTGCTGCTATATTTTCTTATTGATTGTCAAAACTTTGAGAAATGATTGATATTGCTAATTTTCTTTATATCGAATACAGGGTGAGTCAAAACGTGAGTACATTATTTTCTCAGTAATTTTAAATAGAACACCCTGTATTTTATGTCACCATCGAAAAGTACCATTACCAGACTACTACAGTTTTTATTTTATATTCCCCATGTCTCAATTTATTAGTTTTTGAGATATTTTCTCTTTTCATAGCAGATTATTAATTAGGTGTCTAAATTTTTACAAATTTTAAGTAATCCATGATTGAATTGTCTAAAACTGGCTTAATCCATATAAACAATATTTAGAGTTAGCATGTTCTAAACTACCATTATTTGTAGGTATTTAATATTCTTCGATATAGGATATTCTCAGTATGTCAGCTATCTTAATGTAAATCTGGTTATCGAAACAAGTCCGAATGTGTGGGATGATGTAGATGAGGGATGCAGAGCATTTATCAAGAAATATTTAGAAAGTCAAGACAGGCCTATGGTTAAGCTGGCCACAAATCAAACTATAAAAGTGGAATATAACGGTAAGTAAAAGAATTCAGTGATAAACATAATTTCCAATTCTTAGGTTAGAGAAATTTGCCTGATTCTGTAGAGAGTCTTCCATTAACGTTGGCCACAGGTCATATCTTAAGGACCACAGTAGATAGAGTGAAGAAAAAAAATGTAATAACTAAAATAATCAATATAAGATTATAGAAATTATTTTTCTTAGAGATGCCAATATTTGCTGTAACTTTCAACAGATATTTTAAAAATTTAATTGAGGACACACCATACTGTCTCAAGTTTTTTTCCTTACTGCAAACAATAACGATATATGGAGATGTTGAATCATGTCGAACTTAATGGCTATCGAGCTGCAACTCGAAAAATATCTTGCCAGTCCTTACATATGGTCTCAAAACAACGGTATTCACACCTAAATCCTCAAACGAGTTCCAAAAAAAAATTTACTGATAGAGTTATTTCGGAAATAAGTTTCTTCTTTAAGTTCCATCTTCTATCGAAGGTTGGAAATCATCATGGCTATGCGGACTCTGTTGACTGCCGCTCTAAAAAGTTCTAAACTACTGCATTCAAACCATTCCCTTAAGTTCTTAAGCCAGGATATTCTTCGTCTTCCCACATTTCGCTTTCCTCGGATTTTGCCCTGCATAATAAGTTGTAATAATGCATATTTTTGCCCTCTCATCACATGTCCCAAGTACTCAAGTTTTCGTCTTTTAATAGTTAATATTATTTCCGCCTCATTTCCTATCCTTCTAGTTACTTCCATGTTTGACATTCTTTGAATCCATGATATTCGTAGGATTCTTCTGTAACACCAAAATTCAAAGGCGGCCAGCTTATTCAGATGAACTTGTTTGAGTGTCCAAGCTTCCAGACCATAAAGAAGAGTAGAGAACACGTAACATCGAAGCATTCTCAGGCGTTCTGAATCGAACAAAGAAACTTTTTAAGTTTAATAAATGATGTACATGCTATTTCAATACGTGTCTTAATTTCTTTGGTTTGGTCTACATCTGATGTTATCCATGTTCCTAAATATTTATAGTTATTAACCTTCTCCAGTATCTTCAATAGTCAATTGGATATTTGCATGTGCAGATTTAGTCATGATCATGCATTTAGTTTTCTTTAAATTTATCTTCAGTCCGTACTCATGACAGCGTTCATTAAGGCGTTGCATTAGGTTCTGTAAATCATTGTTGTTATCCGTAATTATTACTGTATCGTCTGCAAAACGTAAGTTATTCAAAACTTCTCCATAGATAGATATACCTTTTATTGAGTCTGAGAGCGCTTCTTGAAATACCGCTTCACTGTAGACATTGAAAAGTAGTGGGGACAGCACGCAACCCTGGCGGACTCCTTTCTGTATTTTGATATTTTCGGTGTACTGGCTGTCAACTCTTACCTTGGCAGTTTGATTCCAATATAAATTAGATATAATTTTCAGACAACGACTGTCAATATTTTTGCTTTTTAATATATCTACAAGCTTTTTTATGTTGAACTTTGTTGAACTTTATCAAATGCCTACGAATACAAATGGAAATAAGTTTAAGAGTCTGAACTGAAAAATTTCGAAAAAAGACCCGATGTTTTAACTGATGTTCTTGAAAGTGTGGCTGAACATTTCAACACTCTTTTCGCGTAGGTGGACATATATACTATTGGTTTGGTGTCCTACAGAAACCGAAAGAAGTATGAGAAGACTTCAGATGATATCTCGATATGGTATCCGAAATATGGTTGAAAAAAAAAAAGGATTCAGACCGCCATAAACAGAAATACCTAGAAATAATTGGAAGACGATTATCACTGGGAATATCAGTGGAGCAGATAAGGAGGGAGAAAGAGGATTGAAAGAGAGCAAGAGCATACAGGGAGAAAGAAAAAAACATATTGTGAAGTGTGAGAGGGAGAGGGAAAGAGAGGAAGCTGTAGAGAAAGACCAAGGAAACAGAAGGAGTGATAAAGAAAAGAGAATAGAGGGGAGAAAGGAGACAGAGACAGAGGAGACATATAGAGAGAGGAGACAGACAATGATGGAGAAGAGAAGAGATAGATAAAGAGTGTAGGCAGACAGAGAGTTTAGTTAGAGATACAACTTTGGCGTTGAAGTCACCCATGACAATTGTTAGGTCTTGCCTTTTCAACCTTTTCACGACTTGATTAATGCTATGGTATAGTTTTTCTACCTCTTCTTCATCACCATGTGATCATAGCATATTTGGTCGATTTAACAAAATTTATATCATCGATTTAATTATTTACTAACAATTAATTGCTTAATCTTGTAATGAAATTACAGGGAAATGGTTGATCTGTCGCGTAGTCAATGTGGATTGTTCGCTAGCACAAGTGTGCTTTGAAACGATAAAGAGAACAGAATGGATATATAGAGGATCTACCAGATTGAGCCCAATGTTTAAAGAAGAACAAGCCGCGACCAGTAGGCATACAGGCGTAAGGATTACAAGAAAATTAGGACCGGTAAGAATAATATTTATGTTTATAATTTATATATTTATTATCACGTGAAATATGTGTGTCTGTGTGTGTTTTTGTGTGAGTAAAATTACGTGTATATACTTTTTATATTGTTGCTTTTCTAGAATGAGTCTGCAACCGTTGTGCAATACACGAGAAAGGATGAAAACAACAGTTCTGCTCAGCCCACCACCGAAAACAACACCGAATCCCCGACACCTATAAGGGCCGTAGCGAGAAAAAGTACCACCAGACCACAAAACAGTTCATCTGCGACCGCAAAACCATTCCTTCCCGAGGATGTCAGAAACACAAACAACACTAATGGACCAACCAGTAAAATAATGGTAAGGACCGTTGAGGTCGCTAAATTGTATTTTACTTTAAGATCGAAAGAGAGTAAGTTTCTCTGTTTTTGTTGGATCGAAATACTTTTCAGGTATTACTCACACCCACTGTTGTCAAGTCCAATATTGAAATATGGTACTGTTGAGTTTTTACCACATCACCAGAAACTTTGGCGACGTCAGAAGAAACTTTCGAAATATCGTCAGAAACTTTGTTCTTTAATGTCGAAATCGACGAGATGACAGCATCTTCAAATATATAAGTTTTTGGATCCAAACCATCTTCTTTTAAAGCGTTCTTTAGTCGTTGGATTAAATCAGCCTTTTTTCCGTTAGAAGCTAATTCTCTGTCCTCGTCATTTTCACAATTTATTTACTATTCCACTTTTGACACCAAATGTTGAGTTTTTATTAATTCTAATTTATTTACTTTATTTCCCTTATTCTAATTCACTAAAACACAATAATTTATATCAATTTATTAAACCACTTATTCGATACAACAATTTATTTTCGACTAACTAACTGTTTACATAAAATGTCCCATATATATATATATATATATATATATATATATATATATATATATATATATACAGGGTGTTTCAAAAAAAGGTAACCCCGTCTCTAGGGTAGGTAAAAAACTGAAAAATAAGTGGGGTTTGCTTAGTAAAAAAATTTTGTAACGCCATCCGTTTTCAAGATACAGGGCGTTGAAGAAAAAAAAATTTTACGCATTTTTTACGATTTTGCCGAAACTACTGGCAACATTGTAATGAAATTTTATACGAATATGTTTTGGAAGCTGATACATCCCATGAAATTGTTTTTATATCTGATTCTCATAGAGGGCGCTAGTTACACGGATGGTACTAAGTATTAGTCAATATAACTTTTTTAAGAGTATAATTATTAATCAAAATTTCAAGTAAACTTAAACATCATTCAATTTTACACGAAAAAGGTCCTCTTGGTAAACCTCGATACTGTGTACCGTTTTCGGAATATTTTGATTTGAAAATTATGAAGTAATAATTGATTGAAGTCTATTCTTTTTTCTAAAGATTCCATTAACCTTCTAAACGCTAGGGGATCAACTATGATGTCATTAAATTGACGTTGAATTCTTTCTTCCAATTCTTGGCGTGAATTTAACTCTGTAGCACAGACTTTTTCCTTAATATACGACCAAACTGCATAGTCCAAAGGGTTAAAATCGCATGACCGAGGAGGCCAATGAATCGGAGCTTCTGCACCTCTACCAATCCATCGATTCGGAAAATGATTACTCAACCAATTACGACACCTTCTATTAAAGTGTGGTGGAGCTCCATCGTGCATAAAAAATAAAGATCTTCGCTGGTTTAACGTTAAATCTTCTAATATCTCGAATAAGGGATTGTTTAAAAAATCAAGATGCATATCACCATTTAAATTTCCAGGTAGAATATGATAACCTATTAATTTGTTACCTAAAGTTGCTGCCCAAACATTAAATTTAAATGAGTGTTGGTAATGTGATACCCTTTTAACTCGTGGATTATCATCACACCAGTAGTGTGCATTATGGCAGTTAAACATACCTTGTAGCGTAAAGGTGGCCTCTTCCGTAAAAAGAATGCATTTTAAAAAATTTGGATTGTGGGCTGTAATTTGTTGCAATGTTTCACAAAAATCCACTCTAACCGGTAGATCATCTGGCAAGAGCTCTTGGACTTATCTGTAATGATAAGGATGTAATTGCCGTTCTTTCAGTATCCGCCAAGTACTTGAAGAAGAAGTAATAGTTTGTCTTGCTATATTCCTTACGCTAACTGTTGGATCTTGATCAAGTAAATTTAAAATATTATTTTCTTTATTAATTGTTCTTGTTGTTCTTGGTCTACCAGAATTTATTTTATTAGGTCTCACATTCCCAGTTTTTCGACAACGTCGTTCAACGGCTCTAAATGTTTTTTTACTTGGTAAGTTTCTTCTAGGAAACTTTTCTGCATAACGTGTCACAGCTGCACTAGAATATCCTAAACATTCGTTTAAGGTTAATAACATGTCAGTGTATTCAACATTTGAGTACATTTTTATTTGATTTTACAAATAACAAGGTTTCAAAACTCGAAGTATTGTTGATTTATCGTCATAACAATCAATAAATGTCAGATTTCCATGGCACACTCGGAGAAAATAGAGGTATACCTATTAGAACTTTATCATTACTACCAGCATCAATTATTACTTCAGGATTTTCAAATCAAAATATTCCGAAAAAGGTACACAGTATCGAATTTTACCAAGAGTACCAAGAGAGTTTTTCGTGTAAAATTGAAGGATGTTTAAGTTTACTTGAAATTTTGATTAATAATTATACTCTTAAAAAAGTTATATTGACTAATATTTAGTACGATCTGTGTAACTAGCGCCCTCTATGAGAATCAGATATAAAAACAAACTCATGGGATGTATCAGCTTCCAAAACATATTCGTATAAAATTTCATTACGATGTTGCCAGTAGTTTCGGTAAAATCGTAAAAAATGCGTAAAATTTTTTTTCTTCAATGCCCTGTATCTTGAAAACGGATGGCGTTACAAAAATTTTTTACCAAACAAACCCCAATTATTTTTCAGTTTTTTACCTACGCTAGAGACGGGGTTACCTTTTTTTGAAACACCCTGTATATATATATATATATATATATATATATATATATATATATATATATATATAAATAACCGTCAGACTGGAACCCCGGCGAAGAATCGATGACCTTCTCGACTAGTTTGGAAGGTAAACATGTTCTTATCGAAGGGTCGGGCCCATGGATGTTATCTGAAGTTTCCGCCGGCTGCTGTATGATCTAGAAAAGACTTGAATGAAAAAGGATATTTATAGTTTAGATATTATGAGCCATTGTTTATCGTAACAGTACTTTTATTGGGAACTAATAAAAAAAGCCGGTGCTGAGCCAGTGGAGTCTTATATTTGTATTTGGGGGTGCAAAAACTAATAATAAAATTTTTTTTCTTACAAATAAAATTTCAAATGTGGTCTTTTATAGTATTTTTTACAGGTTATTGTTTATTGTTAATAAATACATATTCTTCTCCACAGTACTTCACTCCTCGCGATCAAGTAATCATAAAAAGAAAGTATAAGTTGCACACTTGCTCCCACAAATGCAGAGAGTTGCAAACTTATGACTCTTCGAAACTTCGCGGCCACAATCCTCTCTCGAAACCACTCTTATGCGGCTGGGGCCGATTGACAGTTAAAAGTAGAGGTCGAAGAGAGATCATATACAAATCTCCGTGTGCTAGACTGCTGCGAAACATTGCGGAAGTTCATACTTATCTGCGAGTCACCAGGAGCGAGTTGACGATTGATTTGTTCGATTTCCATCACAATGTAAGATGTTTGGCCGAGTTTAATGTGGATTGCCAGGCTGATCCCACAGATCTTTCTAAGGGTAAGAATTTCATATGATGACAGTTGTTTTTATTATTTATTCTTGTAGTGGTATTATACAAGCAAATCTTCACAATATCGAAGGTTTACTTTTATAGAGCTGGTTCAGTGCTTTATTTATTATTTTGCTATGTGAAATTAAACTGCTTAGATTTGTAAATTTTAAAACCACATTTCAGGAATGGAACAAACTCCTATTCCGGTTGTGAACGGAATCAATAGGGAAATGTTAGATTTTTGTAATTATTCAATTAAGAGAGTTCCTATGGAAGGAGTCGATATGAATCTCGATCCAGAATATCTGTGCGGCTGTGATTGCGATGACGATTGTATTGTAAGTATTTTGCTACGTTTATTTATTTTTTTTATTAAATAAAGAATTATCTGCGAATGATTTTGAAAGAAGGGTAGTGATAGCTTTATGTGAAGCGACACAACAAAAAATAATTGTACAAAGAAATTTTTTCGATTTTGTTTTATTCGGAGATGAACCAACGTTTAATAAAAACCATCCATCCATCCAATGGCACTACAGCCCAAGCCGGGCCTTGGCCTCCTTCATTAAACCTCTCCAAACATCTCTATTTACTGCTGTTCTTTTCCATGAACGCGTTTTTAGGAGATTTTTGGCATCCTCATCTACCTCGTCTTCCCATCTCTTTTTTGGTCTTCCAACAGGTCTTTTTCCTTGTATTCTTGCGTTTAGTAATTTTCTGGGGATTCTGTTCTCATGCATGCGGGCCACATGCCCTGCCCATCGTAATCTCTGCAGTCTAGTGTATTGTGCTAGTGTTGGTTCAGTGTATTGTTCGTATATTTCGTTATTATATCTAATTCGCCAGTTGTTATTTTCCTTTATTGGACCCAGTATTCTACGCAATATTTTTCTTTCAAACACGTCTAATGCATTGGTAGATTTCTGTGTTATAACCCATGTTTCACACCCATAACTTACTATGGGTCGGATGATTGTTTTATATACCCGGAGTTTTGTTTTCTGGTGTACGTCTCGCGATTTGAATATGTGGCCCATCGCGAAATAGGCTTTGTTTGCCAGCATAAGCCTTCTATTTATTTCCGGTTCTTCTTCATTATTTTCGACCAGATCCATTCCTAAATACGTGAATCTATTCACGTATTCTATATCGTCTATAAATTGTTGTTGTTGCGCCTGTCTATTTGATCTGGTTTGTATGAGTAGTTTTGTTTTATTTGTATTTATTGTTAGCCCTACAACTTCTGAACTCTGTTTCAACTGAACGTAGGTTTCTTCTGCCGCAGTCTTTGTTCTGCTCATTATGTTTATGTCATCTGCGTATGCTGCTAATTGGGTAGATTTGTTTGTAAGTATGTTATTTCTGCTCACCGTCAACCGTCTAATTACATATTCAAGAACAAGATTAAAAAGTGTTGGAGCCAGTCCGTCACCTTGTTTCAGTCCTTGCGTTGTCATAAACGCATCAGTGATCTGTCCTTGAATACATACATGTGCTTCTGTTTCTGTCATTGTCATTTGCACTAGTCTTATTAATTTTGATGCCAAATTCTTGTAATATATTAGGTAGTATTGTTCTATCTATTGAATCATAGGCTTGCTTGAAATCTACAAAGAGATTGTAGACGTCTATGTCATATTCCCATGCTTTGGCTAGTATTTGTTTAACTGTAAATAGTTGGTCAATAGTAGATCTATTTTGCCTGAACCCTGCTTGATATTCCCCGATAATTTTTTCAGTGAGGGGTTGAAGTCTTCGATTAAGAATGTTTGTGAGTATTTTGTATCCCGAACAAAGTAAAGAGATGCCTCTATAATTCTGGCATAACAGTTTGTCTCCTTTTTTATGGATAGGGCAGATTATACTTTTCTTCCATTGTTGTGGGATTTTTTCTTCTCTCCATATTTCTTGTATAAGCTGGTACATCTGTTCTGTCAAATTTGTTAAAATTTAATAAAAACAGATCTGTCAATAGTCACAATGGACAGCCGGAATGTGACTTCACGGCGGCCGTATTGTTATTATTACTTTCCAAACAAAAGTTGAAATGCCCAATCTCAAGACTTTTTAATTTCTATAAAGTTAAAATTTTGCTTCCTCTGCTGCTTTTACTTTTAATATAGTGTTTTACGATAATGCCATCATAATTCAGTGTTCTATTTCTATGAAATATAGTTTAAAAGTTTAAATTAAAGAAATTCTAACCTTATTTTGTTGATACACGCATTTTATTGCTATTTTTATAAAACAACATGCTTTATTATTTACACAACCTTGCAAAATTGTTGTAGTAACTATAAGAATACTTAGATATTGCAAAAAGCGAAAAGATTCTGTAAAAAAATGAAAAAATAAAGAAAAATACAAATTATCTACACTAAACAAGGTTTGTTTGGAAAGTAAAACTGACAGATGTCAATAAAATCTACATCATCACTCCGGCAGTTCATTTCCACTATTAGTCCACAACAAATCCTTACTAAATAATTACAAAGAGCCAAACTAGGTGGTCCTTAAACGTTTGGGATGGTATTTTAGAAACAACTAAAGAAATGGTTAAATGGATGTGAGAGGCGGCATTTGGATTTTTGTAGAAAAAGTTATGCGGTAACTTAAATAATAATAATTGAAGAGCTCAAAGCTAACAGGATGAGAGTCCATTATTACTTTCAACGAAATTTCTTGTAATTTATCTCATGTAAAATATCGTATCGTATCTAACTAAGCAAAAAAAGTGAAAGTGTACAAGCCATTCAGCTTTGAATACGTCTTCTTTTCTAAAAGAATGGAGGTGCTACATATGCAGGCTAAAAGGATGACAGTTCACCAGGTTCAGATTGCTGACCACAGAGGTCTCTGCTATTAGTGCTGTTTGTTGTCCAGATGTTTTATAAACGGACATACCTGTGTTTACTTAAAGCTTTCTGTTATTATTGAGTACTGTGCTATTTAAAATGTCTGATAACGAATATTCTGCAGCAATAGAAAACTGTTCAAAGAAAAGAAAAGGTTTTGGTTGCATGCAAAAAATTGAGGTTATGTAGCCATGAGTTAGGACAAATAAACTGAATGAAATTATAACACTAGCAGAAGAAAAACAAGTTTTTAGATCGGGAAGATCATGCACCTATGCTATATTTACAATGAGGCAAGTGCAAAAGAAATTATTAGAATACAACAAACCGGCATATCTATAACAGTAGTCACAGTTGCCTAACTATGATTGACGCTTCATAATTGTATACATTAGTCTTAGTGTAAAGGAGTTATATAAGCTCAAATTTGGGTATGGCACATTAAAAAAAGAGGTTGTTTCACGTTATCGATGAGCTGGGAGGAAAAGATATATAGATTATATCTAGTATGTTTTAGTATACTATTGTTTAATGTATTTTCAGGATAAGACGAAGTGTGCCTGCTGGAAGCTCACTTTGGAGGGAGCAAAATATATTGGAAGAGATATAAGTCCTACATCAGTTGGTTACATATACCGAAGGTTGCCCGAACAAGTTATTACAGGAATATATGAATGTAACTCCAGGTAACGATTTTATTAATAAAGTTTACCATATTATTTACTCTTTTTGAACTATTATTAATCTACATACATCATTTTCTGTGTGTGGCATTTTTGATACCTATAATCAATGATCCCAATGATACTTTTATGAAAAAATCTTTTCTTTTAATCTATTTGAAACCGAATTAATCTTATGTATTTGAAATAAACAATTGTCGTTCGTATTTTAGATGCAAATGTTCATCGACTTGCCTAAACAGAGTTGTGCAGAACCCCATGAGTTTGAAACTTCAAGTATTTAGGACTCACAACCGCGGTTGGGGCATCAGATGTCTCAATGACGTTCCTCCAGGCAGCTTTATCTGTATTTATGCTGGTACAATACACACTGAAGCTATGGCCAATGTGGTAAGATATCTTACAGCTGTATCTCAGTATTTAAGGGAGGGTAGGGTTGATTTTCGATATTTTAATCATATTTTTGTGAGTAATTTTTGAAAAATTGTTTAATATAAATTTATTTAACATTAGTACATTATAGTACAACATTTCAAGGGTATTTTCTTAAATCTTGGTATAAAAATATTAAAAATTGAGCCAATAACAGTTAATATTCCAAGATGCGGTGTTAATCGTAACTTATAACTGGATCATCGGTTAAAAAAGCCAAAAAGATTTCGTTATACTCCATTCCACGAATATACGACTGTTTTAAATTCGGTTTAAGGTATCGATTTAAATGGTCCAATGTGCTGAATTGTACAATATTAAATTCTCCCCATTTTTAAAATACTGTTATGACAGATATAAACCTTAGATTTAAATATGAAGTCATGATATAAATATAGAGTTGATAGTTTATAGAACAGTTGTAATTCAGATTTTGAAGTATATAATTACTATCATTGAGTTTAGTATTGTAAACAAGTTGGTTTTTGAATTAAGTGATTTAAACGAAGTGTAACAAAACTTAAGTGATTAAATAGTATAATTTATTTAGTCGAATATTCAATTATTAAAAAAAAAACAAAAAAACTTACTCATTCTTTTATTCTCCTAATCTCCTAAAACTATCACCAACCATCTATCACTATCAGATTCATAACCATAATACACTACAGTAAACTCTCTTAACGGACACCTCTCTTCACTGGACAGTTTTTAAAACTAAAATCAGTCGGGGTATATGAAAAACTGTATGTAAATTTTCGTTACTTTAACTATCAATAGCCGGTATGTTATACCCGTTACTTTCGGAACTTTTAAGAGTACATCCACTCAAAGCAACCAAAATTTTTAAAACTAACAAAGTGAAATATTAGATTCTTTTTCGAGTTTCTGAACCATCGTTCTGCCAATTTCTTTTCATTTATATTAACAATTTCTCTTCATTTATATTAAAAATAGTATATTTATTTTTATTACAGTTGCAGTACCTAATAAAGTAATAAAACAGTGTAATACCAAAGAAACCCGACACGGCTCTTTGGTGTTTACATTTCACCGAAACCCATCCCAAATGTCTGAGGAACACATTTGGCTTCATATACGTCATTGTATTTATTTGTAGGAGCGTTTGCGTAAAATTTTTTATTATTTTCGGATTTAATTTCACAATAAATTTTGCGTCTATCTGAACATATATTAACTGAAATAATTTTAGTTTAGATGTAGATCAGTAGATCCTTTTTATTGAAATAATGATTAGACCAATTCACTTCCATCCTTCTACTTGCCCAGTAAAATATTCGTTGTCACAATAATCCAAAACAGTCGTATATTCGTGGAATAACCTATAGTTTATGAGTTTACCTAGGCCGCAACATCAAGAGATTGTTTATTTTATTGTTTTTTTTTTCAAATTTTTAGAAGTAAAAAAGACAAATTTTTTGAATTTTCGAAAAATTTATGTTAAAATTTAACCAATTTAGATTAACTGTTTCTATCGATTTAATTTGTAATGATCTTTAGGATGGTGTGGCATATGGAGATGAATACTTTGCGGAATTGGATTATATCGAAACTGTTGAAAAATATAAAGAAGATTACGAAGCGGAAGTCATGGAGGAGGAGGAAGAGGAAAAGGGGTATAAACGTCGAAAAAATCCACCCGAAGAGGAGGAAGAGGAAGAAGAGGAATCCGTAACGGTGGTCACTAACAGCAAATACAAAAGATACAATTATGCCGCAGATAACGATTTTACACCTAGTCATCCCGATAGGATTATTGCGGGAGATCAAGCAATTAGGTAAGTCTTAATATTAAAAAGGAGCTATCTTCAAAGTGTGCTCTACCACACTTAGGAAGCGTTTTTTGATTAAGGTAATTTAAGTTAAATTGACATTTATTGGCACGAGATTTTTGGACACCCTGTATAAAAAGTAGGCGAATCAACCGCTGGTGATGAATATAAAGATATCATCACTTAACCTTTTGCGTCCACTGCTGGACATAGGCCTCCCTCATTTTTGTTCATTGTGCTGTATCTTCTGACTAAATTCTTACTTTTATTTACATGTGGATGGTAAATCAGTAGAAAGTTATACTACAACGAAATTTTTGGGGGTAACCCTAGATCATAAACTTACATGGGGAACTCACGTAAATCATCTATCAACAAAGTTAAGTACATGTAGCTATATAATGTGTAATTTAAGAGAAACTGTCTTCATTTGATATATTGCGAATGATTTATTTTAGTTTAGTACAGTCTGTACTTCAGTATGGCTTAATATTTTGGGGTTGCTCATCTCATTTTGAACAGGCATTTATAGCTCAAAAGAAAGTTTTAAGAAGTATGTATGGCGTTCCATTTTCAGATAGTTGCAAGCCACTATTTAAGAATAAAGCTTCCACTAGCTCACTGCTCAGCCACTCTATGCTCCTTGAAGATATTGTTCCGAACTTTCTGGCATTTTTCGAATTTATCCGCATTTTAAAACCTCTTAAAAATAAGTTTATTTCTGTAAAATTTCAGTATGTTGTATTTAGTAGTAAAAGATATATATATATATATATATATATATATATATATATATATATATATATATATATATAAGGTTCTTGAACTCCTAAGTGGAGCATAGAGCTTCAGTGAAAACGCGCCATCGGGTTCTATTTTGCGCTAAGGCCTTCACCTCATTCCAAGACTTTCCTTGTTTTCTTATCTCGTTCATGATGGATCTTCTCCAAGTTTGTCCCATGTAAAAGATAATAAACTATTAATTATTAACAATTTTATGTATATTGATTATAGAACGCGACTAAGAACGAGAAACAAAGATGACGTTAAAGACGATTTCAAGGAAGAGAACGAAGTGAAAGCCAAAAAAGAAGAGTCAAAGCATGAAATGGGAATGAAAATAAAACAAGAACTAAGTAGAAATAGTTCGGAGTCTTATCAATCAATGAAATCGTTAATCGAGGGATTGTCTGATAACATCGAAACTGTTACCATAAGCGACGAAGAAGATGGTAAGTAAAAAATCAATATAGCCCTAGAAAAAGAGAAATTCAAATGAATGCATTTGATGTCTGGAGAAGGACTATGCTTCTATCTAGAGCACCTAAACGATTTATGGCTAAATATTAGATAAACATATTTTATCATATCAAACTTACTTCATTTTTGCTTTTCTCACATTTTATCTAACACCTTAAAATTACCAATTTATATACTCTACAAATTATGAATTGTCTAGTACACAAGTTTAAATAAATTAGATCCACTCTTGCTGGTATATTTTAAGACAAAATAAGTTAAATACAAAGTTATTAATTAATAAATAAAAATAATTATTAAAAAATAAAATAATAATTAAAAAAAAAATAAAAGTATTAAGCTATTTTCACTAACACAAAAACTAGTTCGTCTCTGAACGCACTGAAGAGATCTGCATGTTTTTAGCAATGCCTGATATCAATGTTTCGTCCGTAGATCGATGTCACTAAATGATTACGTCAGGTCCACGACATTATGAATTATCTTTAACAATAACTTTAGCTTAAAATATGTTTATTTTGACCTTTCAAGATACCTTTATTTTATTAAAATACCACAATAAAGTAGACTGAGATCAATATTTAAATAAGTTGCTTAGTAGAATCTTTAGATTTTACTTGTAGCATTTTCAATTTCATCGATTCTTTGAAGTATATTGAAGTCCCCTCGTATACGAAATATTAAAATCACCTTATATATTTTTGATAGATCTAAAAATATTTCGTACGTATTTAAACCCAAATATCTTTTCATTTCTTTCTTAGGTCGGCCAAGTTGAAATAAACCATTTTAGAGTTGTTTATTTATTTTAACTTCCTCGGCAAATTCTTGTTTTATTAAGAGCCGCAATTTTAATGCGTCGCAAAATAATATGTACGTCGTTTCGTGGTGTCTTGTTATGTCAGCGTTTGTATGTATGCGTTCAATTTTAATAGAATTTCGTCACTCTCGTTGGAGCAGCTTTCAAGAGCGGGTCAGCGTTATGTCCAAATTCACGTCGAATTTGTAAAGTGTTCTGTTTTCGTCTTTTATTATGAAGAATATAATGTAGCAGTTTGTTATTGGTTTTGTGGCAGTAAATGCTTCAATTATTAATGTTTTGAGTGAGGATTGGAGGACATCCTCGTTTTTTTTTGTTCCTGCTTTTATCCAAGGCTTTTGGCAGTTTGGAGATCGAGGTTTTCGTGATGCAGAGAGAGTGGAGCCCTCAGTTCCAGTTATGGTTTCAGAAACTTAAGTGTGATCATGTGAATTAAGGTAACATTTTGTTCAAATTTTAAACTAAAGACAGACATTTTTTTATAAAATAATAATTGCTTTCGTTGACATTTAAAATTGTAAATTTTTGGTTTTGAGTAAAGCTGTCAATTTGTGTTTAGTTTTTTTTTTGAAATTTAATGTTAATTTATGGCAGCTCGTTTTAGTATTTTTGATGTTTGTATTTCTCCATGTAACTGTTTGTGGTGACACATAAATAAAGGTTAAATTTTATTTTCTTAACTTTTTATTTATTTTTTTTTTGATCTAACCATTTTTGAGTTTATTTGAAAAAGATATGTTTTTGTATGTTTTGATTTTGTTTTCTAATTATTTCCTAGTTACAACTAGTGGTTGTAATAGGCATAATTAGGCACCTCAAGTGGCGCCCTATATTAAATTCCTTGAGGTGTTTCTTGTTTATTTTTATTTTGTTTATCCCAAGAGCCCTTTATTTCATTTTCTTGTAGTTGCCCCATTCCAACCCCCTTATCTTTTACTTATCCACGACCCCAGCTCTCCTACGAAACCCTGAGTGCCGTTCGCATAAGTAGCGATTATTTTGCTTGCCCTATCTCCACCCCCAATAGTTTCTTCCCTCAATTTTCTACCTCCTGTATTAATCAACCCTTTGGTAGGCAAAATACTATCGTTACATACTTACATGCTCTCTAGTTGGCAAATTTTTGATAAAATGGACTCATCAATTATAAATTCAATAGCAACTCGATGGTGAGTTGGAATATGAGTATTGAGTAAAATGTCGTGATTTATGACAATATTTAATACATTATTATTTATAGTGAGATCATTTAATGTTTCATTATTGCAGATCTATGGTTGTGATGACAATTATTTTTCTGCGTCTTGCTTTTATATAATCGATATGAACTTTTTACAGAGGGAAGAGAAGTGTTAAGTTTTAATCCGCAAGCAAGTAACTTGGACGATAAAGGACCCAATTACACCTCTGTTCGAGAGCTCTTCGGAAAAGATGAATCTGTCTATGTCATGGATGCAAAAAATGCTGGAAACATTGGACGATTCTTGAATGTAAGTTCAGTATATTATTAACTTTATCATCACTCAGTCAAATTTAAAAAAAATCAGGCGCGATTTTCTTTAAAATAAATTAATCTACTTTGCAATTATCTTTAATTACAGTGTATTTTGTATATCTTATAATTTGTGTTTAATAACTTTTCTAATATTCTTGACAGGTACACCGTTTCTTCAGTCCACTTCATACGTGTTTTGAAACAATCGACTGCTTTATCTGGTTTTATTTTAGCAATACCAGTTGGTGTCTCCAAGGCTTTCGATTTCGATATACCAATAATTTTATATATTTCTTTCAGCATTCCTGTTCACCAAACGTTTTCGTGCAGAATGTTTTCGTCGATACTCATGATCCCCGCTTCCCGTGGGTATCATTCTTTTCGTTGCATCAAATCCGAGCAGGAACAGAACTGACGTGGAATTACAATTACGACATCGGCAGCGTTCCCGGTAAAATGTTGACCTGTCATTGTGCCTCAGGAGAATGTAAAGGGCGTTTATTGTAATCGACAGAATTTATACCGTTCTGCAGGTAAGTGCTGCTATCGTGCAGCTATATATAATTTCCGCTGAAGTTAATTGCACTTAATCAAATTTTTAAGTTTCCACTACATTATTCAACTTGTGTTAGAAACTGTAATTAGAAACAGCAACATGAATGTAGAAGAAACAATCATGAAAAATGAGCACCAGTGCTTGGCATTTGCTGACGATTTAACGATCCTAGCAAAAACCGAGAAAGAATTAAGAAGAGTTGTAAAGAAAATCATCGAAGAAGCACAAACATTCGGATTGGAACTAAATGAAGACAAAACCAAATATGGTAGGAACAGAAGGGAAAAAAGAAGACTTTAGTGTGAGGTCTGTAAGTGGTAAAAGCTATAGTTTTAAAAGGGTGGACAAATTTGAATACCTGGGTGTAGTTTCCGATGAAATTGGAAATAAGGAATGGGAGCTGGAAGCCAGAATAGCAAAAAGGAATAAAAAATTAGGTAGTTTAAGAGCTCTACTGAACTCAAAATACGTTTCTAGACAAGGTAAACTCAGAATATATAAAACAGTAATTCGACCCACAGTAACATACGGCGGTGAGACATGGATATTAAATAAACTCTGGAAAGATGGGAAAGGAAAATACTGAGACGCATATTCGGAGGACGGAAGACAGAAGATGGTTGGGAGAGAAGAACCAACAATGAATTAATGGCTTTATACAAAGAACCTACCATTACCAAGTTCGTCAAGTCACAAAGAATCAGATGGTTGGGACATGTGGAAAGAATGGAAGCAAACATAATGCCCAAACTAGTAATAACCAGAAAACTAATCGGCCCCAAAAGAAGAGGTAGACCCAGAACAAGGTGGATTAATAAAGTGGAGGAAGACCTTAAATACGTGAAGGTGAGGGACTGGAAAAGAAAAGCACAAAATAGAAGCGAATGGAAAAATATTGTACACCAGGTCCTTCAGAGTAGTTAAGAATGTTGTATATACATATTTAAGTTAAAGTCTTGTTTAAAATAATTGTAATTAGTTAATATTAGGATTATGTCTACAAAAATTGCCCTAGGCCTTAACGGCCTGTTGTGCGTAAAAATAAATACATTTTTAAGTTCATATTTTTGCTCCTAATATGTTTGTTCTTGCATATATTATACTATATTAATTTTATTTTGTTTCAGGCAATGGACAGATTTCATACATTACATAGATATTTATACCCTTTATTATATTGCGTTCTATTTCACTAATTTCGTTCATTGAAATTAGTTTTTCATCGTGTAAGTATAGAGTAAATAAATTATAATTCAATACATAAATAAAGATTTTGATAAGAGACTATTTTTTATATCCTTCCCTATATACAGTATAGGTAAAAGTTTATATGGTCGGTATAGACCTTACGTGAGATGGAGTGAGAAACACCTGTTTAAAAAGAGAGGTATATTAAGGCAGCCCTTTATATCGCCGAAAATGAATGAGTTGAAATAATAAAAAAGGGGAAATTCAACGTTGTCAAACTTATTGGTTTTATTTGACCTGTTGTCTTTTTAGCATTTGAACAATGTTATAAGACAGTGTTTCCCAAAGTGGGGGTCGCGACCCCATGAGGGGTCGCCATGAGGTACTAGGGGGGTCGCCGAACATTTCCAAAATAAGACAAAAGCACCACTTTGTTAGATCATGTATTTTTATTTTAACAACGCCGTAAATAGAAATTAACAATTAATTATCAGACGAAATATAAAACTAAATATTAAAGTCCGTAAAAATAAAAGAGTAAAACAAAGTCAAATATTATAATCTTAATGAGAGCTATGCGCCTGTTTCTGTGAAACTAATCTTTCAAATCTAGGCTGTGTATTTGAGACACACACAATTATATCATTTTCAAGTACGAGACGATTTCTAACTCTTGTTTTAATGGCAGTCATAGACGAGAAACTTAACTCACACAAATATGATGTTACAAATGGAACCAAACATTTTACAGCTTCACTCGCCAACTGGGGGTATTCCTGCATCTTTTCGGTCCAAAATTGGTCCGAGTTCTGGAAAAAAATTGGAGCTTCAACATTCCATCACTTGATATTTCAATAAGTTTTTCTTTCATGTTTATTGGTATTTCAACATGCTGAAAGGAATCGGCTAAAAACGGATTTAGTATCCATCTGCAACTGTCGTAACTGTTTTGAATTTCTTCGGGGAAATAATCACAGAGCTGTTGTTTTAAATTGAGCAAAGTAACATGCATGTCAGCAAAAACTTGTTCAAAATTTGTAGCACTGTAATTGGATACATTTTCCATAATTTCCTGAAGGCACTGGAATGAATCGAGTTGTTTTTTGCCAAGTGAGGTCGACCATAAATCGATTTTTCTTAGAAACGCCTTAATTTTATCTGTGGCTGTAATTATATTAATGTCGCGACCTTGTAAATTACTGTTCAAAATATTTAATTGCTCGAAATATCAGCAAGGAAACCTAGTTTCAGAAGCCAAATAGGATCGGAAAATTGATTTTCATATGGGGACTTCTCATCTTTCAAATACATTAAAAGCTCTGCTCTTAAGTGAAATACTCTTTTTAAGACGTTGCCCCTTGAAAGCCACCTTACTTCGGTGTGATAGAGAAGATTTTCAAATAAAGCACCCATGTCTTCGCAAATTTTTCTAAAAATACGGGTCTGCAAAGCTTTTCCTTTAATGGAATTTACAACTTTAATGATGGTTTTCATAACACAGTCCATTTCAGGAGGTAAAGCTTTGGACGCAAGAGCTTCTCGATGTAAAAAACAATGTCTCCATTTGGCATTAAGCATTATTTCTTGTAATTTGACGACAAGACCGGATTTATGTCCTGTCATAGCTTTAGCGCCATTTGTGCATATAGCAATACATTTACCCCAGTCAATATCATATTTACTTGTACGTTTCACAAAAGTGTCGAGTAAACATTTTCCAGTGGTATTGGTCTCCAATGGGGAACAAAATAAAATATCTTCTTGAATGCCATTATTTGTATCATATCTTACAAACGTAATGAATTGGGCACAGTTAGATATATCTGTGGATTCGTCCATTTGAAGAGAGAAGTACGTGCATTTATTAAGATTTTCCACAACTTGCGCTTGAATATCTTCTGCCATATCACTAATTCTTCTTTGGATAGTATTATTTGACAGAGGTATTGTATTTAATTTTGCAGCCTCTCTTTCCCCACACATTATATGTACCATTTCAACAGCTGCTGGAAAAATCAGATTTTCAGCAATTGTGTGCGGATTACTAGTTTTGGCAACACGATAAGCAACTTTATAACTTGCTAATAATGCTTTTTCATTAGTAGTGGTTGCCAAGGGAAAACTGTCTTGCTGTTTGTGAAGGACGTTCAGCTTTCTTTCAAAGAATTCTACGGGCTTGTCTTTTTATCTGGATGTTTGCTATTTAAATGTCGAAGTAACTTTGATGGCTTCATGCTTTCTTTTGACAAGACTTGTCCACAAATAACACATTGTGGTTTATTGGAAATAACGGTAAAACCATATTTAAGATATTCATCAATGTAGAATCTGTTTTTCTTTTTATTGCTGCTACTGCCACTTTCAGACGTAGATGGTTCTGCACTTCTTTTTAAAAACTTATCCATAATTTATAATTTCGTAGACGTAAATACGTAAGATACGTAAGTCGTAAAATATTTACTCATTACTCAACACCGCGTTCGCCACCATAGGCTGTTTGGATTCGAACTGAGGTTTCGTTGCGCATCGCCGCTTATATAAAGCCAAAACGAGGCTACGAGAACGTTCCAGAGTGCCATCTAGTAGCGAGCGCTTTCGCGATTATCATGGAAGAGTTTTGCGATGTAGACACAAGCTAATATGTCGCGGTGTACAATGTGCAGTCGACTTCTTATTATTTATTTTTATTGTAAATGCTATTCTGGCAGAAGTACCTACTACTAATTACTAGTGGGACAGATCGCAATCATTAAAATAATTGTACTAAAATAAAATAATTGTTTTTGGTTTAAACTTAAACAGCAAAGTAAAATTAAATTTGAGAAACCATCAGATAATTGTAAATTAGGCGCGCTATTTCTGTCAAATTATATTGAATAAATGAGTGGGGGGCCGCGAACAATTTTTTTAGCAAAAGGGGGTCGCGGTTTAGATAAGTTTGGGAAACTCTGTTCTAAGATAATCAAATTTGGGCGAAATGGATTTAAATGGCAGCTTACTGTTTTTTATTGGGAATGTGCCACAATTTTACTTTACAATAAGTGTAATATAACATTTTGATTTCCACTTCGGAAATCATTTTATATAGATAAAATTTATTAATGTTTCGTATTTTAAGTACGATTTCCGAATTAAAAATCTAAACATCAAAATAAGCTTATTTTAAAGTCACATTGTGCCTTTCCCATTAAAAATAATATATGATCCCACAATAAACAAAAGCTTCATACAAAATTATTTGGCAACGTCTCGTCTCCCGATTCGTCAAAGCGAATCAAATCAAATTAAAGTAAGGACAGAGGTAACGAGTAGAGGTGGGTCGTTGACGTTTTTATCGTAAACAAGTTACTATGATTGTTTAACAGTAGTTTCAAGTAAGAGAGTACCTACATAAATAAACATAATGGTTATTATCGTTTATGTGTATATTTATTAAAGTGAAAGAAACTAATGAAGGATATATTTATTATAACTTGAAAAGTAAACTAAACAATACAAACGATATTAGTAATTGTACTACGTCGGATACTATGGATGTAAGGTTACCGTTTGCTTAATTTTTTTTTGTAAGATTCTTGCAGGCGACGTACCATAACAATCACTGAACTGCCCTTCAAGTATTTTTGGCCACTCATTGTACTTGTTATTTCTTTAAAATGCCGTAACATTTGGGAAAGTTGAGAACAAATAATCCAGTCTTCATTATTTAGATTTGGTCTAAGTCTGTATTAACTAATACCAATGTGGAACGGATTGCCTCTTCTAACTCGGTCATTCTCTTTAATATGTAGTAGGTGAAGTTCTACCTAGTTTCCACGTCTTGGATTATCCGAAATTTACTTTTCGTTTTAGACTCAACTGATTTATAATTATGTTTTCTGAATTATGGTTTCCAGAAAAACTGCAGCAGCTCAATAGAAACCGTTTTAAATTCTAAATTTTCGGTTAAATATTGTCCTTTTAATGCGATGTAACTCTCAGTTACTCCAGATGTCCAGAGATCAGTAGTAATACAGATATTTTCTACGTCTTTAACAACTTGTGATCTAATAATTTGCTCAGTTTTGATATAACATTCCTGAAGTAATGAACCTGACAAAGTTTTTCTTGTTGGCAGTTTATATTCAGGAATCCACCCTGCAAACTTTTTAAAAGCTCATTATTCAACTATGGAAAACGGATGAAACGAGTCTTTGCATAGGTTTAGTAAATCCATATCTATTTGTTTCTTTTGTTCTAAACTAATATTTTTATTAATGGAAGTATCCATCACCTTTTGACGTTTGGGTGGCGGTGGCAGTATGTCAGGTACTTGTAGTAGAAGTAGTCGAAACGGACAGAAATGCGTCAGAAGTTTCAATCATTGCAATATTCAGAAACTGGACCATAAAAGCTGCATCTTCTAAAAATGTGCATTTTTGAAAATAAAATTCTTATACTAGGTCAATAATTTTGACTAAGAAAAAGAATTCTTAATTGAATATTTACAATAAATAAATCCTTTGACAAACTATCAATAAAGATTTAAATCGAAAATGCAGATCAATCGTAAATCGAAACTCATTCATTAATCAGAATAAATAGTTATTTTATTTTCAACGTCAACCGATAGCCCTACTGTACACAAAGAGTCGCATGATATTTTTAGTTTTGTAGTAGTCTCTCAGTTCAACTGATCGTCCTCGTCGACGTAGTGTTCGTTGCTCCTCTGTTTACGTCTACACAAAACGTAGTTTTTTTGAATCAACCATCAACTAGTTGGCTTACCAGTGAGAAACCGTAGATTCGTAAATGACAAATAATGATTTAAAATGCATGGATGTGCTGATAAGAATGAAGGTAAAAAAAACAAAAGAAAGAGTTAAGAAGCTGATTACTTCTATAAAAAAATAAAAAGAAGATTGTACTATTGAAAATCAAAGAGTACAAGAAAAAGAAACTGATAAAGATGACGTAGGTCCATGGTGTATTTTTCATGAATTAATTGGACATGACTCATCTAAACATACATCTGTATCGACAGATATAAAAGAAGTCGACATGTATTTGTCTGATGATATATTACCCACAAAAAATTTCGAACGGAGATTGGAACTGTTCATTACAGTGGTACAAAAGCCATCGCCATGTATATCCTAACTTAATCACTATATTCATAAAATATTGTAGTATTGTAACAAAATCTGTTCCTTGTGAACACATGTTCAAAATCTGGTTTAATTTTAAATAAAAGAAGAACACGGTTAACAAGAAAAGTGGAAAAACTTATGTTTTTAAATGTCAATTTAGACGATTCGCTATTTAATAATGTGTAATGCAAATGTAAGTATTATTTACTATTTGTATGGTTTAATTTATTTTTCAAGTTAGTCAACAAGTCAAATAATAAATATATCCTTCGTTAGTTTCTTTCACATCAATACTTATACACATAAACGATAATATCAAATATGTTTGTTTGTTTACACCATGGACGTATAAATACTCGCTTATTTGAAACTACTGGTAAACAATCGACTAGTTACTAGTTTACGAAAAACGGTTCCGATAAAAATGTCAACGACCCACCTCTAGGTACTTAGGTATAAGGTGGGTCGGAACCAGAGATATGTAAAATATCTCTGATCGGAACTAATCGTCTCACTAATGGGCAATAGGCGTCTATTAGAAATATGGAGGGGAGACCAAGGGGAAATATGATTGTTATCTTTGTCTATTCGCTGAAAATATGATTTTATATCTGTGTTAAATTTTACCATAAACTTTTACCTACACTGTATAACTTACTACCACTATATATATATATATATATATATATATATATATAATATATATATATATATATACTTACCTTTCCATTCAGAATCTTGTAATGTTCACTCAGGTAGGCAACCAGTATTACTTACTACCAATCTTTACCCCTGCTAAATGAGCAGATAATAGTCACGTTTACCGTGAGTATATTTCCAACATGTTGTCGTGTTAGTAATAAGTCTTATTTCGACTTCACATACATTTATTCCAATGATTTGTAAGCATGAGAGGTAAATCGACAGTGTTTTGGATGAAAATTCGATGCATATCTTGATGTTAGTAACTCTGGAGGCGCAAATCACATTAATTGGTCTAAGTGGTGATCCAACTGTCTATAAAAACATATATCTATAAAACCATCATCAATTTCCACTGCTTTATCTTTCTTTATTTGTTGCAGCGTTTGAGTCACATTCTCATTTATTAATTAGATTACTTTTGCTCGCCTCATTCTTTTACTTTCTGTGGTACATGTTTGTCTATTTTGCAGACGTTCCTTCCTCCGATTTTTGGACAATTCAAAAATAAATAAGCGGTGAGAACAGTTTAATACTTCCGACAAGACTATGATACAATTATTTATTTTTTACAAGAAACTGAAGATAAACTAAGAACAATCTCTTATATATTTACATTTCGAAATAAAATAAATATCTTATCACACACACTTACATGAAGACAATTATTATAATAAAATCGATTAAATAAAATCATAATTATAAAAGAACTAGAACTTTAATGAGAATGTACCTACTATTTTTATCTAAGAGCTCTTTCACCACGATTCGGAAAAAGTATGTAAAAAGTGTATTTATTTAATGTTGAATTTCAGTCTTCAAAACAAAATTTTAATTTTTTTACTTTATTCCTAAAACTAATTTTCTTTAATAAATACTTTCCGTTTAACGGGCCTTTTTTCCGGCAATTGTCGCTCTAAATCGTACAGATGTTCTCGGTGGCTCATAGCGCTGGCGTAAGACTGAAACAGAAAATAACGAGTTCACTATTGTGCATTGCAACACGCGAATAACATAAGTAATAACCATATCCTTAACAATATTTAGTCGAAGTATTTTGAAGTATGTTGTAGTTTATGATCATAGTCAAAATTGTAGTTTTTGAACCCGTCCGTTGACTTATTTCCTTAATTTTGGGAAAGAGAAATAATCACATGGGACTAAATCTGCCGAATAAAGTGGACCGTCGACCAATTAACATTTCAGTCTTGGCTTTCTTCGATGGGTTCTATTCTTCACTGGTTTGGTTGTTTATTCGCCCAATGGTTGCACAAATGGAAATGGTATAACTTCTACGGCCACTGCCGGTTGAAGATGTATTTATAACTGTTATCTCCTTAACTATTTGTTTTTTATTGATGAATATGAAGCCTAGAGATTTTCCTAATGCTGTTTTTGCTAATTTTGACCAATTTTTGGACTAAAATCGCCAAACAAGATTCTAAATTTTGCGGATGCTTTAGATACTCAAACAATATTCATATTTTCAACTTTTAAAAGCGTACAAAGGCTGGTCGAAGAACGAAAAAGGCTTTCAGTCGCTGGCGTTCAGAAATCCTTGACTATGGTAGCGGTCAATCCAGACAGCAGAGGGTGCTCGTTACAAATCGATACATACTTTAACATTATACTATAAGGGAAGGTGACAGACACGGGCAATCCGGATCTTTCGAGTTAGCATAAAGATCCGAATCACACTTTTAATTATTTTGACATTTGATATGTGACCAACTACTCGAATGTTAAGGATTGGAAAGTACTTATGACTTAATTTGTTATGCACAAAAATGTTACACAAATAAAGAGACAGTAAACATATATACTCACATTTAGATTTAAATGCACAAGTGATTAATTTACCAACAAAAAATCAATCCAAATCAATTTTTATACAATATGAAATATATAGGGTGTGTGAAAAGAAGCGGAAGAGTCGAATACTAATTTGTTTATAACAACGCAAAATATGACTACATGTAAACATAAAGATATTTATGCAAAATTAAGTAACTTTTATTTGAGACATTTGTTGAACTGTTGATGGATGGCGTTATATCCTAGGAAAATTATGGAAACAGTCTAATATCTCGAGAAATACACTTCCAAATGTCTTCCTCTTCTTCTTCCTTCTTGTATGTTGGCTTTAAAGCTTTAAAGCAGAGCAGCCAAGGGGTGGTAGTGCGGAGTCGTAACTGAGGTGATTCGATATATGATGTCCAAAAAATATAAAATACTTGATTTTTAGTTTTTCATTTAGAAGTGAATTTCTCCAGATATTGACCGTTTCTATAATTTTCATAGGGTATCACGATAAATAGTTATTTCCAATTATAGCGCTATCAATCAATAATTCGAAATAAAAGTTGCTTATTTTTTATGAGGAATCCAAATCTGCAATAAAAAATGGGGATTTCTATTCAAGATATCAAAGATGCTCTCCTCCCCGCTCTACGGGGTGTGGCTGGGGGTCGTGTTTGTTGTCACTCGATAGATTATCGAACACCTGTTTTTCAGTTTTTCGATCCGACGTTAACTTCGCAAAATATTCGATCATCCAGCTTCTTATCACACCCCGTATGTGTGTTCTGGTCTTCTAACACTTTCCAGTAGGAATCAATAAATGAGCGTTCAATGAGTCATGCAAATCCATCTCTCATCGTACTATTCATTCATGGGCAGATTCGATTCACTTGGAATTTAGGTTGGTTTTATACTGTTGCATTCGAACAATTTCTGGCTGGAGTGCGGCTCCCATTATAGTACTCACAATGAAGTGTCAACTAGTCCAAAATCGTTCTGAAACTATTAACAAGATGCCACAATCTTATGTTTTTATTAATTCTTCTTCCATTTTATACATCTTTGCAGATATGTAATGCACTCGCAAAATTACTGTCTCTTAGTTGCTGATCACTCCTACTTTTCTTTCCTTTCGGTTTTCTGTGATCCATTAGCTTCTCAATAATGTGTGATATATGACCAAAGCAGGTTAAAATCTTGTAGTTACATTATATAGAGACTACTTATTATGTGCATAATTAAAAATGAAGCACAATTGCAAATTGAGAATTTGGCAATTAGGTCAAACATACTCTTTTTAAAAAAGCTTTTAAAATCTACTTGCTCATCTTCTTTCATCAACATAGAGATATTTAATTTAACCTAATCAAATATATTTAATGGTAAGATACAAGCATTCATATTTACAGTCTCTTTATTATAAGAACATGCGATTTATACTTTTTTCCAACAAGTGATGCAGGTAAAATCATCAAGATAATATGAAGGTTCTGAGTTCATTTCTAAGCAACAAATAAGGATAGAAACATTTGAAAAATGCCATTTTGAAGATTTTTATATAATTTTTTTTAATCTCAAATCTGCTTAAAATCCTTCACTTTTTGTTAAGAGACAAAAAAGCGAAAATTGGCCGTTTTTTGACCTCAATTTGTTAATAACTAATTAAGTAAAAAAATCGGCTGTAGGAAACGTTATAGGTTCTTGTTATAGCAGTGCATACTACTCAAAACAACTGTCATTTGCCTCTCCTAGCCAGTATTGTTCTGAAGCTATTTTCTTGTGGCATTATAAATTAATTACTATTTAACTGGGAATAAGCCATAATTAAAGATAAAAATACGTTTATTGACGTTTCAATTTCCACTTCGGAAATCGTTCTCAAAATACAAACAGTAAATTAAACAAATATTGTTTTTAGTTACATAGTGAAAAATTCTTCTAATAATTTAATTTTATCTGACTCATTTATATTGACAATTCAGACATACATTATGCATTTTAAAGTAGACGACTTTAAAATGATATTGCCAATATTGTTGAGTTGCGCTCCTGGGACGACTTTACTTATAAGATAGTTTATTCGATTACATGAAATCAACTTGAACTTGAGAATGTCCGTCAGAAAAAAAAATCATAGCATGTAATTCGTCTTTAAAAAGACAAACACATGACATGATGACAGTAAAATTCTCCTGTTAGTGATTCCATAGTAAATTATGAGGGAAAAACCAGGAAAAAAACCTCATAATACTATCCCGACATTGTAAGTATTTGTTCGTGAATTTAGTTTACCTTCAACAAACATCAAAATTCTGAATTTATATGTTACGTTATTTAAAAAACATAAATGATGTTATCCTCTATATGTTACTGACTTACTAATACTGGTAATTTCTTATTAATAACTTCCTCTTTCAATATTGGTAACCAGATCCTACTACATTCTGCCGAGGAATTTGCGACACAATTGGCCTCATTTAGCATAATTAGAGCCGTTTCTTTGATTTTTCTTTTTTTACCATCCGTTTCTTTTAGGACTACATTTGAATTATTCCATTGAACCCTATGTTCATTATCCCATGCGTGTTTACATATTTGAGATCTATCAAATTCTCTATTTTTAATATAAGATTGATGTTCACTTATTCTAACATTTAATGGCCTTGATGATTCACCTAAATAAAACTGATCGCATTCATAAGGTATTTTATAAATGCATTTCTTTGTCCTTTCTTGTTCATTACTAGGTTTGGTTTTGGACAAAATAGATCTCAACGTGTTTGTTGTTTTGAATGTTGTTGAAATGTTGAATTTATCCTATCCTTTTAAGTTTTTCTGATAATCCTTTTATGTACGGTATTGTTATTTTCCTCATATTATTCCTTGTGTATGCTGTAGGATCTCGTTCTAAGTTGTTCTGTTCTATTCGATCGATTGTTGAAAATTCCTTATTTATAAACGATAAAGAATAATCATTTTTTAATAAAACAGATGTTAACAAATGTTTCTCCTCCAAGAACGAATTTTCGTTAGAACAAGTAATTTTGGCTCTATCGTATAAGGATTTCATTATTCCCTTTTTTACATTAATATTGTGATCTGATTTGAAATTTAAATATCTATTCTTGTGTGTTGGTTATCTACACACCTTAGTCTCATATCCAATATCATTCTTAGAGATTAAAACATCCAGGAAAGGTAGCGTGTTATTATATTCCTTTTCCATGGTAAATGTTTCCATTGTCTCTTCTTTATCGTTTATATCATTTAGGAATGTGTCCAACAACTCTGATCCATGGCCATATTGAGAATACATCATCTACATACCTCCACCATACTGTGGGTTTGAAATTTTGTTTAGAAATGATGTTTGTTTCAAAATCTTCCATAAATATATCGGCTAAGAATGGAGATAAACTAGAGCCCATTGCTAGACCAAAATTTTGTTTATAGAATTCATTATTTAGTTGAAAATATGTATTATCAGTACATAATGTTAATAACTCCATTATAGCCGATATGTTTAGTCTTGTTCTAGTTGCCAATGAATCATCACTCTCTAATTTTGTCTTGACATTTAATGGCACATTCGTAAATAAACTATTTATGTCAAAACTTACCAAAGTATTATTTGAATTAAATTCAATATTTGATAATTTATTTAAAAAATGTTGTGTATTTTTTATGAATGTGTCATTTTTATTTGTAAATGGTTTTAAAATATTTAATAAAAATTTTGATAGTTCACTACAAGGAGAATTCATGGTACTACAAATGGGTCTAAGTGGTATATTCGTTTTATGAATTTTCGGTACTCCATAAAAATGAGGAGTCTGACTGTAATGAGGTGTAATTAATCCTCTCTGATAACTTGTAAACATCTTTAAATTTGAATAAAGTTCTATACATTTTGTTTTCCAAAGGCTTTGTTGGATCTTTTTTCCACGATTTCCGAAGCGGAAATTGAAACGTCAATAAACGTATTTTTATCTTTAATTGTGGCTTATTCTCCTAGCCAGTGTCATAAACAGGGTACTTTTTTTTGCTAATTTTCCTGGTGTCGAAACAAAGATAACACTTAATTGAATAGAAGTGTTTTAGTCCGATACATGAGTGTAAAATAATATTTAAATCGACTACAGTTCATTGTAGAATGAAAATTAATATTGTCAAAAAAAAAACTTAAATAAAGAAGCCAGGTCATTGTTAATCGATTCTATCAATTACTTAATTAGTTAACAAATAACATCGATTTAAGGAATTAATGTGTGGCAACAACGCATTATTCCCCTGACGAGTTGTAAAATTGTAAGCAACGTCTTCCTTCACAGTGCGAAGCGCCAAGATACATCCGGCATTGCGACATTCAGTAACGATCAGACACTGACGAGGCGTGTGTAGTTCTTTGCATTAAATTACCTCATACGTTCTTACTTGCACGACTTCTTGAAGTAAAGTATATTTATAGCAACGATTGAAATGTTTAATGGATACAATTTCTATTTAATCATAATCAATATTTGATTAATGTCGTATTTGATTGACTTTCTATAAACTCGGCTATATAGTAAACTTTTCATTAGACCGTTTTAAAAAGCAGAGTGACCATATGATTAAATTAAATAAAAATTTGATGATGAGGAATTGCGATAGATGGAAAAGAAGCTTGTTAGATGTGCATAAAAATATTATGGATAATAGTAATCGTGAAAGTACGAAAGGAATAAAATGGAAGTCAAATGAAGACTATCAGTATTAACAATAATTAGAAAGTATAGCTGCAATATTTTCCAGACGGGATTTTATAATAATCAATTTATTGTATCTGTAAGTTTTGATTAATTTTGATTTTGTTGTTTATTTTGAACATATCAAAACTATTGATTATGTAAAATTCGTTCTTTTTCTTCTCATGAAATTCACATATTTTTACCGTTTAACTGCCAACATACTTATCAGTATCAGTTAAAAATATTAGTCGTTTAAGAATATAGAATACGATTATATAATTATAGAAGTAATAATAGAACTTCGAAGGGAAAACCAACAAGTCCAAATATTAATTAGCAATAAGTAACTTGAAGAATTTAAGATTCCCGTTTTCCGCTGAGCAGTTACACTACATACTGGTCCTTCGAGCCGGATGCTTGCTGCTTTAGAAATACGAAATATCAAAAGTTAGTGATTTTCCTTTTACCATTATTTAATTTTTTTACATTTTCACATGAGATTTACATTTGATTTGTTTCAATTCAGTGGAAAACTACTTCTATCTTAATTGTTTGTTATTAATCACTATTTTGTACAACACACAAAACATTTATTTGATTATTTTACTTGGTATAGACGCGGTGGTTTACAGGGTTTTATTCCTTATTTTACAATCTTCTTCACTAATAATCTTCTTCAATAGCTTAATAAATAACAGAAGTTACAACGTACATAATGAATGTAGTTCCCAAGAAACAATCACCAATTAATACGCTTCATTTGACTTCCCTTAGTGGATGAAAAAATCGTTGATAGAATGAAATGACACAAATGTTGCAAATAACAAATAAATATTTAGGCTAAAGAAGACAAAATCGGGGAAGTCTTTAAACTTGATCAAAATTAAAAACCAATCAAATTGCCAATTAAAAATAAAAATAATTTTGAAACTAAAACACGAATAGATTTTTGGTGACAATGATTTATACAGTTCTTCTCGTTGGATGAAAACCAGTTACTGTTACATTTGTAAATGATACTGTGTTATTGATAATAACAATCAGTGCCTTCAAAATTCTGATTCGGTTTAATTTGGTAAGTTTGAAGACTACATTTTTACCGTTTCCTACTAAATTCAGTATTTTTAATTGATCAATTAAAAATATTTTATGCAAAACAATCTTTACTTCCAGCTAACTACCGTTCAAATATAATTTTTCGCAAAGTGTTCAGATACAGTGCATCAGAGCTTCCTTGCATTAGCGATTTGTGGATGAATTCGAGTGCTGTGTTTTGTTACCTCAATGAAACTTATAGGAAAATTTTATAAAACTGTTGAAATACCAGGTATGATGTACAGACCTAAATTTTGGGGGAGAAGTATGTGACGGAAATGAGAATTCTTAAATAGATGAGTGGAGAGTCAAAAAAGGATGAGGATCTGTATATTAGAGGAAGTCTAAGAGTGACACCAATTGATGCCAAAATCAGAAAGCATAGGGTAAGATGGTTTAGTCATGTTCAATGTACAGACGCTAATTACCCAATACAAAGAATTGCTGCTCTGAGGGTTCCTGGAATAAGCAGGAGAGGAATATCAAAGAATTGGAGAAAGACCTTTGCATATCGGTAAAGGGAGTTGGAGGCATTTGAGCTGGAGGCATTTGAGATGTGGGCGTACCGAAGAATGTTAAAAATCTCCTGGAAGGATAAGATAACTAACCAAGTTGTATTAGACAGGATTAACAAACAAAAGGAGGTCGTATTGAGTGTTAAAATGAGGAAACTAGAATACCTGAGACATATTACACGTGGGAATAAATATCAACTGTTACAACTAATTATGCAAGGAAAGATTGAAGGTAGGCGCAGCATAGGTAGGAGAAGAATGTCATGGTTGAGAAACCTCAGGGAGTGGTTTGCTTGCACTTCCATACAATTGTTCCGAGCGGCAGCCTCCAGGGTCAAAATTGCCATGATGATAGCCAACCTTCGTAGCAGAGATGGCACGTGAACAAGAAGAAGAAGAAAGGGAGTTGACCCAAGATATGGTATGATCCAAGATAGAAACTCATCATCATCATCACGTAGCGCTACAACCCTGGGTGGGTCTTGGCTGACTGTACAACTTTTTTCCAATTTGTTCGGTCTTCCATCAACCTAGGGTCGAATGGAATGTTCATTTTTCGGAGATCTGCTTGGATGTTATCTCTCCATCGCATTCTGGGACGTCCGAGTGGTCTTTTGTCTGTCGGAATCTCCTCCCATACCAGTTTTAGAAGTCATAGAAACTCATGGAGAAATATAATTAGGGAAGCTGTCTTAGCATAGAAGACTATAGGTATCGGGTAATTAATGTGTTATGAGTAATATTCTCTCTATTACTATATAGTATTTTTTTAACGAATTATGAGGTCATGGTCACTATTTTGAGGTTTTTTTCTTGCTCTGATGTACCATAATAAATATAGATAAATGGCCTTTAGCGTAACACTAAAAATCTAGTCTTCGCCTTTACGAATAACGTAACCAAAATCTACTGAACTTAAAAGAAAAAATTTAGAAAAAAATGAAGTTAAAATATTTACTTCTCAGATGTGAGGGTCATTCGTCTTCTTTGGCAGCAACGTTATGACAACTACTCACCATTTTCGATCGTATTCGCTTTGGGACATTTTGTTCTCTTAAACCAAACATACAATCTTGTGGAAGATAACTTTTCGATTCATCTTCAAATAATACCTGCGAAAAAAGATACGAATAAAACAATATAGACAAAAGCAGAAAGTCTAATATACTGAAATTATGTTAATACAAAAATTGATCATTTCTTTATAAATTAATACAATTTCGTCAAATATTGGAGGTGCTGAAATCTATACTGTGATGTACTCGGAACTGTACTCAATACCAGAGAGCTCTTTGGAGTATATTGCAATTCCAACTCTTCTATATAGTTAGTGGCAATAGATTTCAAATAATTGGACTCCTATATAAAAAAAGAAATTTTTCGAACAAAGAAATTTTCACTTACCGTAAACGTGGTATTTTCGAATCTGCCCAAATAATCAGCATCGTACGATTTGCCGTCCACCCAACGGATCTGTATTCGTTCGCCTAACTTAGGAGAAGTCATTGTTTCGAATCCAACGACGTCGCTCAGCCTGATGTCTTTGGAAAAACTCTGGTCTATCGGAAAGAAGACACAAAGGCGTGTTTCCGTTTTGGCCTCTAAAACCTTGGCATTGTAGTATCTTCCGTTTCTGTGTCTTGCCCAGACTATTTCTCCCTCTTTGAAAGACTTCATCTACACAAATAATTGTTTATCAAATACCATGCATTAAGCAATGTCATAGTTTATTGTTATTTGGTGTTATTGCCATTTTGTTGTTATTTGGGGAATACTGTGTATTCACCAAATAACAACAACTTTACATACCTATTCATCCATTAAATAGCAACTTTAGTACAAATATTTGTCCTAAGGTTACGCTACATCAAGTATACGACTACACGAAGACACAGAAAAATTCAGCTTAGGTCGAGGAGTTAGACAAGGAGACAATATTTCACCAAAATTGTTCACAGCAGCACTAGAGTCAATATTTAAGAACATTCAATGGCAAGATATGGGCATCAATATAGATGGAGAAAGATTACATCATCTAAGGTTTGCAGATGATGTATTAATCGCAGATAACTTACAGGATATAGTTTCTATGATGCATTCGCTTAAAAGTATGTCTAAAAGAGCAGGATTAAAGATAAGCGTGTGAGAAAACTGAACTTATAACAAATCTCGTAATGAGTGGAAATATAACTATTGACAATATTACCATACAACAAACAGACACTTACAAATATCTGGAACACAAGATCAAAATAAGCAGAGACAATCAAACACATGAAATACAGAGGCGAATAGGCCTGACATGGGCAGTATTTGGCAAATTAAGCCATATTCTAAAAAGTTCAATTCCCATATTGTGTCTCAAGTGAAAGGTTTATAACCAATGTGTTTTGCCTGTACAAACTTATGGAGCAAAAATCTGCAAGTTATTGAATAAACTAGGGAGTTACACAACGAGCCATGGAATGTGCAGTGCTGAACGTGAGCCTTCGAGATCACATAACAAACCAACAAATCAGGCAAAGATCAGGAGTTCAAGACGTCATCGAAAGAACCACGACGCTCAAGTGGAACTGGGCAGGGCACTTAGCCAGAACACAAGATGGACGGTGGACAAGACGTATTATGGAATGGAGGCCAGAAACTATAAAAGAAGCCGAGGACGACCACCGACTAGATGGACTGAAGATATAAAACGTGTAGCGGGAAACTGGCTATAAGCGGCCCAGTGTAGAGAACACTGGAAAGAACTAGGGAGGCCTATGTCCAGCAGTGGACGCGATTGGCTGATTGATGATAAAGTTTACAATGACTGATATTTTTAATGGCATAAATTAGCTACCCAAGCTTACTGCTGGTCCAGATGTAGTGCCTAATTTTCAGAGGAATATAACTTTAGCTTCTACCGACCTCTTAAAGATCTGTGCCGGGTTTGTAAGGCCTACAACTCGTCCTTAAGCGATAAAGCATCTATGGAAACCGAATATATCGCTCACATAGCAGCCAAGAAGAAAGCCCGTGATGAAAAGAGATTAAGTAGACAGTTGGAGGAAAATTTTAACGGTACACTCATAAGTTGCAATTTTGATCTTCAACAAGTGCTTTTGGTACCAAATGACCTAACGAATAACGCTTTATTTTACAAGCAAAGATATTAAAAGTATTTAACTTCACCATTAATAATACAGTCTCTAAACAGAGTAATTGCTTCATGTGGACAGAGGTTGTTTATACCAATATTTTGAATCTTTGCGGGAACAAGTAACTCAGGTTCAGTGTTTTAGTGATAGATGTGGTGGACAAAAATTTAAATAAAAAAGTCGCTAGTATGTGCTTAACAGCTGTTCAAAATATTCCACATTTGGAAAACATTGAACTATAATTCCTAGTTTCCAGCCATAGTGAAATGGAGTGTGACTCCATGCACTCAGCCATTTCCAACAGAGTTCAAAAGAATAAGCAAAACACATTTACCACAAGACTGGAAAACAATTGCTAGATGTGCCTGAAGAAAAGGAGATAAACTGTAAGTATGTCATTCATAACATCACTCACAAACAAATATTGGATTGGAAAAATCATGCGGATAAAATTTTAATTTTCAGAGGTAAGGACGAAAGTGGACAGCAAGTAGGATGGCAGAAAATATGTTGCATGTTCTTTTCTAAACATGAACCCTCCATCATGAAATTTAAAGGAAATTTTAATGAAGAATTTAGAACTTTGCCAGAGGACAAAATTGAGTCAAAATATAACTAAAATATTGCCAAAGTGAAAGAAAAATATTGGTTATAATTATTAATTAAGTTCTACTATTTTTATTATATTTTGATCAAAATATATTAATAAATTTTTGCAGCAGGATGGATCCCAATGAAACTTTGTGAACAAAAATGATGATGTGGAAAAAAATTACATTATTGAACAAGTAAAATGCATTTCGAAGTGATGAAAAATGATAAATTTTGTAATTACCTACTATTTTAATGGGAATAAGCCACGATTTATGGTTGAAGTAAGTTTATTGACGAATCAATTTCCACTTCGGAAATCGTTCAAAAAAGATATTTTGGGAACGATTTCCGATTTGGGGTCGCTGATTACGAACATTATGACGGTGTGGTCTCTGTTGCACCTGGTGTCCGGAACGGGGGCTTCGCCTCTTGGGAGTTTTGTAAAAATTTGATAAAAAATTAGAAAATTAGTGCAAACTTGTTACTAGGGGGGATTTTGGGGTCACTGATCACGAATATCATAACGGTGATAGTCTCTAATGCACAAACTCCAAGAGACCAGCCCTCTCCTGAGCACAAGGTACCTCAGACAACATCGCCGGCATGATATTACTGTTCAGCGACCCCAAAAACCGCCAAGTAACGATTTTGCACTAATTTTGTATCGAATATCGAAAAAAAAAAGCTCCAGTAGACGAGGCCTAGGTATACCAGGTGCCTCGGAGATAATCGCCGTGATGATATTTATGTTCAGTAACCCCAAAAATCCCGAAGTAGTAATATTAAACAAGTTAAACTTTGCATTTCCACATCATTTTTGTTCACAAAATTTACTGATGCTAATACTAATCGAATGCAAAAAGTTCCATCAAACTGCAAAAATTTGGTAGGTATTTATTTGCTTCATTCCATCGCCTACTTATGTTTTATATCGATATGTTATTACTCACCTCTCTGCTTGCATTATTGCCTGTCACTCCCTTCAAATTTGCCTGTATACTGCACGCCGAACTTGCACATTCGTCCACCGGAATAGAACTAGCATTGAACAGCGTCAATCCGGATTGTAAGTAATGCTGAATGTCCACACTTAAATCACTAAAAATATCCTTAGCCTCCACGTAGCACTCGCGAGGAGTCAACATCGCTTTTTGGTCGTCGAGGTGTTCCCTCGGCCCTTCGTTGTTCAACTGTGTCTTCTTGGATGGAACCAATTTGAATTTTTTCTTGAGGCTACCGCACATATTTCTTACGATCGTAAATTGCGTCTGCTCGTTCTTCTTGGGTTTCCTCTTCTTTTTCACGCCGAACATTATCTTCGACAGGTACGTGCTCGGTTTACGTTTGGCCTGCCGCTTCCTCATCCCCGTTCGTTTGTTATTTTGGAACATTCGAACAATCTTTTTTAAGTTAGGTCTCCTTTTTTTGAACGACTGCTTTGCCTGGTTCTTAAATTTTTCAATTGCACTATCTTTAGATTTAATAACGTTTTCTTTGATTTCTTCACTGTAGTCTATAAAGGTCGTAACGTCAGTAGCTGTAGTTTTTTTGTCGAGATCGGCCACTGCGTCACTTATATCATCTGGTTCGTTTTTATTGTCACTGGAATGACACAATATGTTTCTTTTCTTAGTAATACAATCTGACTGGGGATCGGTTGTGCTCTCAACGTTTTGCTCACTATTTTTTTCCTCTATTTCTGCAGTTACGTTATTTGCGGTTTCCCCGATTTTTTCTCCATTTTTTGGACAGTTCGGACTACCTTCAACTGCAGAACAATCTTTGTCTTTATTGCTCTCCTTCGCTGATTTATTTTTATCTTTACTTTCGTATAAAAAAGAATTTAAATTGTTTATAGAATCTACAGAAGATGAACTAACTCTATTCTTAACATATCCATCACCCAATTTTGTACTTTTATCTTCATCTGTAGTTCCACATTCCTCACTCAAAGACGTCTCGATAATATCATTAAGAGGCGGAAGCGCCTCGACTATCACTTTACTATTACTAGCGACTGGTATCGGAGCATCCGTCATCGGATAAAACCGGTCTTCGTTATCATAAATAGTCTGTGTACAGCTATACGTGGTATAGTAGTTGTGATTCATCCAAATGTTATTTGGTTTGTACTTTTTGGTAGGAATACTCTCTTTTTCTATTACTGGGGCTGCAGTCTTTTCTATACTCACAGAGTACATATCTAGTAAACCCTTAACGGCTTCTTGTCGCCTGTCGATTTCGGTAAGGTTAACTTTAGTGGCAACAGCTGGCGATCCCAACTTCGGCATATCCTCGTATTCGGTGTATGGTTCCGGTCCTGGAACTGTCAACTCTGGCATCTTCATTATAGTGGTGTCGGTAGGGATCTCCATGTTGTGCATGGGCTGCAAAACAACCTCAGAACCTAGAAGATCAAACAGAATTCGTAGGAACATTGCATGGAATTACATTTTTTGTTAAAATATTACAGTTTTGTCAAAAACCTCATTATACGACGCATTATTTCACACAGCTCAAAGAAACCATCAGGAAATTTATAATAAAACTACGAATTGTTACCACAACCATCCTATTGACCAGATTTAACTCCCTCGAACTTTTGACTGTATTCCCATCTCGAAAAATCCGCGAGAAATGATTTTTTACCAACCAAAAAGGTAATGAGAGCCATATAAGCGTATTTTGACATATTTCTGAATTCTAACTTTGGCAAGATTATATTCAATAACAAAATTGGACCTTTTGGATTAGCTGGAAGTAAAAATTTGTAAGTCATAACACAGACAATAAGGAAACAGATAAAATTATGGAGATTATAGATAAAAAATCAAGAGTTGAATTGCCAGAGGAATGGGCTGAAGTTTTCCAGAATACAAGAAAAAAAAACCGTTTCCTTTTGATGTGATTGACGTTGGCCAAAATATGCTGAAATCCTGGACTGAGTATTTTGATAAATTCTTTAAAAATGTCCATTTCAAACAAGACCTATAAAAGTTTTGAAAATTGAACTAAAATCTCCCCATTTGATTTTTCATCATCCAGCGTACTATGGAAATTTCGTTTCAAATACAGTGATTCTAGAGGGAAAAAACCAAAGACACTCCAGTTACCTTTAGCATCTCATCAACACCTGCTACCTCTTTCTAGAGAAAAATTTGAAGATGTAGTGTCTCTTAGTGTATTTTGTTCCAAAGAAGCTCAGCAGTACTTTGAATCTTTACGACATCAGTAAATAAGTATTCTTCTTAAGTATATTGTTTTTTAATTATAATAAAAGATAATAAATAACTTGTATAACCTATTTTTGTGCGCTAGCAGTTACATTCTTTTTTTTTATTAATTTAAAACATTTTTTATTAAATTAATATAATTAACACTTATACTGTTATATAACATATTTTACTAAATTGTTTAGCAACATTTAAAAAAAAAGGAGTTTAGGATCATACAAGTTAAATATTATAAAATAAAAAATAGAAAATGTAGTGTTCTGAAAAGTGTACTAATAGTGACATTGCGCCTTTATCCCTGCACCCTTCAATTGGAAGGCACTTTTGCCTTCCTTAATGTCTTTTATAAAATTTTGACAATCATTACGAATCGAATCTTTTAGTAAGATATATTCTTTTAATTTTTTACTTATCATTTAATATCTGTATTTTGTTATTTCTCATGCAGTTTTTAATTTTAACCTGCTTGGAGTAAATATATGATGATTAGAAACGAATTGATCGAGAGTAGTGAATTTATGCTATGCTATGACGCTACCCGTGACGACGCCATCTTGTGGCGCTAGTTCCGTGACGCTCGCCTTAGCGTTTTACTGTAGAGACAAAAAATAATAGAACGACAGTAAAAAAGTCCGCTTCAAAAATGTGCGAGAAACGATTATTTGCAAATTAAGAGATAATAATAGTCAAGGAAGCGTATTTTGCAAAACTTCTGGATTTTCACTTCGTGGAAGTTATGTTCAATAAGAAAATTCAACCTTTTGGACTAGCTGAATATACAAATTTGTAGGAAATGACTTGCCTTATAGAAGAAACGATGATTTTTCATCAATACATCGCACCATTTCATACAGCTCGAAAAAAATGAGTGGTTATCACAGCCACCCTTCTCGCCAGATATGGTTCCCTCTGACTTCTGGCTGCTAATTTCGAAAAATAAGAGAGAAACGTTTTTATACGAACCAATCGGTAATAGCAGCCCTGAAAGCAGTTTTTTACAGTCCAGTTCATTCTAATTTCTTCAACACTACATAAAATGTATTTCAATTCATAGGATGATCGTGTTTTTCTTATAGAAACAATAAAACTTATTGAACAATTATTAATAGCAGAATATATCCTTACCTGAGATGTCCGACTGCAGTACTAAAGATTGACTGGTTGGCTCTATAGGTGCTGCGGGAATAAAATTTGTCGACACCATCGCAGGTACTGCCGCAGTTTGCGGAACTTGAGCGACTTGAATTATAACGGGAGTAACTTCAGTATTGACGAGGCGATTTAAAAGAATATTTTTCACTGATGCTACCTCAGTAGTCACTGGAATTGTCTTCAACGGTTCGATATGATTAATTACGACGCGTCCAGAAGCTTCTGCTGACTGAGATCGACTTACTAGTATTTGTTGTATAGTCCCCAGCAGCTGAGATGTATGTGTCGTTACTTGAGGCGCGTGTGACGTTGCTTGAGGCGCGTGTGACGTTGCTTGAGGCGTATGTGACGTTAATTGGGGCGGTTGTGATGTTGACTGGTTGTTTTGGTCATTTACCTGCCGAACTGGCACAAGTTGGTCCGTGGATTTCTTCTGTTGTGTTCCATTTAGCGAAACGCTAGTCCAGGAATTGTTCTGTTGAGTGTTTGTTATTGTACATTGAACATTCGGTCGTGGTGAAGGTTCTTGAACCCTGGTGTTTGGTTGAATTGTCTCTTGTGAAAAATTTTGTTGTAGCGAAGCTAATAAAACTTGGTTACTATTAGTTACGGAAACTTGTTTGGTAGTAGCAACTTGCTGTGCCTCTACCACTAATGGTTTTGGTGCACTGACTAAAGGTTGCTGACTTTCAAGTGTAGAAACCTGCGCAGTTGAAATATTCTGGGCTGTATTTGTATTTAGTTTGCTTGAAGCTGTCGCATGTCCATTTTTCGGAATTATCCTAATGTCTTTTGGAAGTGACGATATTGTCTTTGAAATATTTGTAGGTAATGGTTTATCGTCCACTTTTGCACTTTTATTAGAACTATTTTTAGGTGTTCTGTTAATAGTTTTCTTAGGTTTGTTCGGCTCTGGAACACTCTGCTTTTTCAAAAAATCTAAGAAAGCGACTTCAAACTTATTAGGGGCAAACGCCGGTTTGGCAGCAACTGGTTTGGGTTCTGAAGCCGTCACGTAAGTCGCTACATTCTTTGGTATTGGTTTAGCAATTAAAGGCTCCGGTTCTACAACAGTTATAACGCCTTTTGATGTTTTTATAGTTTCTATCTTAGTAGGTAGAACCATTGGCACCTGTTTAGGTTTCCTATAAGTTTTCAGGAAGTCCTTCTTGAAACTGGAAGTTGGAGGGCTATTCGTGATGACTTCTGCACTAGGTTCATGAGTTTGTGAGCTCGAAGCTACTGGCTGTGGTGTTTGAATGGACTGTGCTGGTGTTTGAATGAACTGTGCTGGTGTTTGAATTGACTGTGGTGGTATTTGAATGGACTGTGGTGGTATTTGAATGGACTGTGGTGGTATTTGAATGGACTGTGGTTGAGTTTGAATGGGCTGTGGTGGAGTTTGAATAGACTGTAGTGGAATTTGAATAGGAGTTTCTTTAAGAAGGTTGTTTGCATGTTCTTCAGCTGCCTCACGAATAATATCTTCGATATTTTTACCAGTTTTTTGTCTATCTTCAGAATTACCCATTGCCTCTCCAAATGTAGATTCCTGTGTATCTGCTTTGTGCTCTTCAAATTTCACTAACGGTTGTATAATAGGATCACCAGTAATAGTAGTAGTTCCTGGCTGAACTTCATGTTTATCTGGAAATAAAGAATTCAACTCAACATTTTCGTGTATCAAATAATAAAAAAGAATATTACTTCATAATTAAAAAAAAAACCAATGCCACAACAAAACACTTTAGAGTTGTACATTAAATACATTTCAAAAAGCAAAAAATTATGGCGTAAAACTGGTTGATATTTAACACTGTTAATTACTAATTCCTAATTCCAAATTTGCAAATTGATACTTACGTTTTTTATGTTTCTTGTGCTGATGATCCTTGTCCTTCCTTTCTTTATCTTTGTGCTTGTGTTTCTTCCTTTGATTCATCAGCAATTCAGTTTCTTGTTGTAGAAGAGTCTTTACTAACTCCGAAGTATCCATTTGATCCTTGATGGGTTTCACAATTTTGCCACAAACCTATGCAGACAAAAAAAGTATTTCAAAAGCTGTTTCTTTTGTACACTTAATGGACATCAATGTGAACCAAAAATCTCAGGGCAATATTCGGTGCCAAAAGGTAGAAACAAGTAAATCTAAATATATGGTGTCACACACAAAAGAATACTTAACGCACGAAGCTTTTATAGTTGAGTTACAGTAAATATTGCAAAATGTACTCTACAGAAAAATTTAAAATGTAAATGTAATACACAATACCTTTTTATCCTTGCTGTCGCAGGGTGCAAACAATCCCGTAAGTTCACTGCTTGTTATATCATCCTCTTTCTTCACTGGCTGCCAGGAGGGATCTTCTAACTTCTTCCTACCACGACGAACTTTCTTCTGGAACCGACGTCCCTTCTTAACGTTATAACCGGCATCGCATACTGATGCGTCTTCTGCTTCTAAACATTAAGACAATTTGTAGGTAGGCAAAAAATTCCAAATTAATTTTTAACATAAAACAAATAGAAAGCAGGCATAGTTTGAATAAAGGTGTTATAAGCGCTAAACTACTTCCATCTTTGAGGAATTTATCTTGACAATATATCATCCACTGTCTAGAAATAAATGAAGATAGTAAGATACACTGTAATGGACTGATTAAGGTAATATCTAAATAAATTTCTATTTTAGAATATTTTATTTCAAGAGATTTGAGGATCAATGCAAATTATACAGATTCATCGAAAACATTTGTAATTGAGCAGATTTTGGAATAAAAACCAAAAACAATTTCAAACTCCATAGTCTTTTTCCTAGGAAACATATTGTTATACATTTACAATAGCAGATGGAAAAACCAAATAAAGGAGGAAAGCAACAACATTGAACATATAACTGTAAAAATTATTAAGTAAAATGGTAAAAAACTGACCTATTTCACCAGCTTTCAGCCAAATATCCTCCAGAACCTCCAACTGCTGCTCGTCAGGTGGTAGTTCATCGCCTGCAAATCCCATGTTATCTTCTTCCATCAATTCCAATTGCAGGGCTGGCGGGAATTCAGCCATACTGAAACTTATTTTATTAAACCTCTCATAAGAAAGTGGCGATACGCAATGAGGTGGTCTGTCTGCCAGAAGGCAGTATGGTTAAAAAAAGAAAAAGAAATAAAAAAGAACTGCATGCAAGTTATTGAAAATTATTAATTGGAGATCATAGTTAGTAAATTATATATTTACAAGATATGTAATGCTTGAAAGATCAAATGCAGATTAGTTCACAGAGGTAATTTTACACCTGGTGTGACAGCAGATCATTGAAATTGTGAATGCTGCTACCGTTGATACAATGACACTACAATATTTTTGTTTACAATAATAATGACATACAGTGAAAGATAAGAGCAGAATTGGCGTATAATTAAAAAATTATTGAAATAATAGGACTGTAAATTGATTCATGGATATTATCATGTTCGGGAGTTGCATGTCCACATGATTAAATGATTATTAATGATATAACAAGGTATTATTTAGTGTTAATTAATAAATTGGAATATCTATAGTTAACTAATAAAAAATATGGTTTGTATGTCTCAGATTTCACTCACAAAGATAAAGAAAACTACAAGCCACTTTAAGTGCCTTGAAATTATTTAAATACAAGTCCAGGTTATTTTAGGATCAAACAAGTACAGCAGATATAAGTAATGGCAATAGAAAAAGCTTAAAACGGATTGTTTTAAAAGTACTAACAACAAATCTCCAATTATTTTAAGGAAAAATATTAATAAAATAATTGAAAACATGAATATATGTATGACATGAATATACATATATCAAGCAAGCAAGCAGTCAAGAAATTAAATATTGAAGAATACATACGGATTAAAAGTGGACATCATTCTTCCCTTCTTCGAGCTTCCTTTCTGATTCTCTAGGTAAGTCTGCGGCAAAGAGGGATTATTCTTATTACACAGAATGTCCTGAGGAAGAGGCAGTGGTGCAGCCACTTTCTTATCGGGTTCCTCTGGATGAGGACCAATGTCTTCACCTTTTAGCCACATCTCATATCTATAAAAAAAAAAAGGACAATATGCTAAGAAATAAACATCAATGAACGTTTTTGAATTAAAGACTATATCAGTTCGTAAGATTCAGTAAACAAATGAAATCTAATTTAAAATGTAACAAATGAAAAAGGAAAATTTTCTTCTTACATATTTCGTTTTTTCTAGTGTCTTAATGCTATCTGGCAGGAATAAATGAATGAGCTATCACTGAACTGTGAGCCTTTCTCAGTACTTTCCCACTGTACTAATTGTAACTTTTTAATTAGATGTATATTATTATTATTAAAATAGATGTATGCAATGTTAGTAAAAGGTTGTTAAAATAATTAGAACAAATATAAATACCTGTGTGGCTGAAATCGTTTAACAAATGTATCCATAGAAATTTTGACCATATCCTTACTGCAAGTACACTGTGAAGCACGCTTTCCATATTCTATCCAACGTTCTTGTGCAAAATTGGTAGATTCGGCGCAATTGAAACCATGGTTAAATCCTGCATGATAACCATAGGGAAAAGTTATCATGATCTCACCAGCCTCTTGGGTTATCTAAAACAAAATAATAAACATATTTAATTAATATACAAATGTGCATGATGATCTTGCATTGGTCAAAGCAAATGAAGAATACAAAACAGAATCTATAAACATTCAGTCTTCAATTCTTATTCAATGTCTGCCTTGGTACAGCATTATCTTCAAACAGGTCCTAACATAGACTGAAAATTCCAGAACTGTATTATATACACAGAATAAAAGCACATCAGTGAGTATTCGCTCCATAGGTCTCCCCTCTATTTACAATCACGTGACACACTGTCAGATTTGTGAGGACGTTTTAGTATTTGAGTCTTATGGGATTATTTTGTTAAACTTAAATATTTTATTTTGTAGTGTTAATATCGGGATACAATTTTTAGAATTAAATATTTTTTGTCGTTAATAAAGATTTATTAACATAATCTACGAAAGTGAGGTTATATATACATGATCAGCCAATGATCAACATCCATGGTACAATGAATATGTTCATTGTACCATGCACAAAAGCGTCCTGATAAAATTTCAAGCAATCGCCATTATGAGCAGGTGAGTCGATTTTGCTTTGACACTTTGTCAACCCTCAGAGCGAACCATCAACATCCTGGAAACTATACAATGCAAAAGGCTGAAATGATTATGGCCATGTTAAAATAATGAATGATCAAGACAAAAAAGGAGTCTACTGAATTTGGTGTCAATAGGTATTTTTCTAATATTTTTATAAATATAAATAATAATAATATAAATAATATAAATCAATATAGGTATTTTCTAACATTGATTTATTTTCTAATATTATTGTGCATTTTATGTAAGGAAAATCCTAGAATATTGAAACTTAGTACATAGCTTCCTCTTGGTAAAGAAAGAACCTTATTAAATTTAAGGTCAATGACAAGTCTTCTTTCCTTTTCTGTTTCTTAAAAAAAACAAGAACCCTATTGAATTTTAAGTAATGAAGTATTTTTCTTTTTACTTATATTTCTATGCATTTTATTTTTCTTGAAAGAAAAGTTCAAGAAACTTGAAACTTCTTTACTTTTCTTTATTTTTATTACTTTTCTGTATAAAAATCTGATAATCTGAACTTAAATATTTTACTTAAATGCTCAACCAATAAGAAATAACATTTGAGAACTGGAAGAATTGGTAGTTAAGTTGAATATGCCAGATGTAATTGTAGTGGCTGAACATTGGTTGAGAGCTGGTGAAGAACCATGTGGAGGTGAAAAGATATTTACTAAAGACTGTTTTGATTATTCTGAAGTAAATAGATAAAACACAAAATGTTCAATACTGTTCTTATAAATTGATAAGCATTTGATAGTAGGAGTAGTGTATAAAACCTCATGATATCCATTACAACAATGTTTAGGGGTAGTGTATATATCCTTAAACACGTTTATGAACAAAAAATACCAATCTGGATATTTGTTGACTTAAATATAGACCAGATCCAAGAGAGTTAATAATACAAAAATTAATAATTCAAACAATCACTTCCAACAGTTTTACAATATTGAATAAAACTGTTTCTACAAGAACTATGCGCCATTCAGCTACTTGTATTCATCCTCTTACAATATTACAGATGTATTAAATATGTTTTTCAACTGCCACAGCTTCATATAACAGAAGATTTGTACTGTCCAAGAAGAATACTCAATATTGAATCAATGTATACAATGCAAGTTTTTGTATTCATTCATTTAAGAGAATTTCAACTCTGCAGGACTCTGAGATGCTGCAATGTGATCTGAACTAAGTAAATCAATGGTTCAAAGATAACAAAATGTTTCTAAACACTTCTAAATGTCATGTTTTTACTATCACTCGAAAAACACAATTCATGGAGAACTAATACAGTGTATTTGGAAGAAGAACACTTGCAAATATCTTGGAGTAATGTTCCAGCAAAATTTGAGATTTAATGAACATTATTGTATTATCATTGGAAAGGCATACAGAACTCTTGGCTTCATAATTCGTAATTCAAAATTATTTAAAAGATTTGAAACTCTAATATCATTATACAATGCACTGGTAAGACCTCACTTGGAGTATGCCTCTATTATATGGGCACCATAAGCTGAATTCAATGTTGAACTGATCAAAAAGGTTCAAAAACGATTCTTGAGGTTTCTTTATGTCAAAAAATTTGGTATTTATCCATACATGATTTTCTATAATGCTATGTTAACTTGTTTTAAATTTCAGCTAATGGATAATAGAAGAAATTTTCATTTGGTCCTTTTTACTTACTATGTTATAAATCACATTAAATATAAAGATTGCTTTTTTATAAATAATATTAAATTTAATGTTCCAAAAATACATCTAAGAATTAATAACAAACGATTGTTCTCAACATTACAAGAGTGATTGTTCACCCATAAATAAGATCTTAGAAGAATGTAACCAAGAGATAATTAACTGTGATATAGACTTTTTAAATTCTTCTGTGAAACTAATAAAAGTCAATTTTAAAACAAATTTCTAGTCTGCAAAAGTTGTTGTCTTAAAATTTAATTTAGATGTATAATGTTTTTTACTTGTTTTATTCTGTCTAGCTTTAGTTTTTAATATAGTTATTGGTTTGTAGCAGTAGTAAGCACTCTCTTAATGTAATAACAATCATTTTGTGTTTAAAAGGTTAAATAAATAAATAAATAAATACAAATATATTTTCATTTACCTTGTTGTAAGGAATTGAATACTGCTTTAAAATTTGGGGAGAGATCAATGTCATTTTGTGCCGCAAAAAAGCCTGACAGGTCTTGTAGGAACTTGGGAAAAATCCATTTGCAAGTCTTTCTAATCTTCTGCCATGTTCTGGTGGAATGGAATACCTACAAAATGAAATAATCATTTATATGTCAAGTTGTATATTAATTTACTTAGTTAATCATAAATCTTTTGATACTAATATATTACTACTTAGATGAGAGCTATACAATACACACTAAAAAAAAAAAGTACTAATATAGGGAAAACCAAACCAACAATAACTCAGGAACTTGGGAAGAAGGGACTGTTAGCATAACATAAATCTTTTAAATACATAAATTTACTAAAATTAAACATGAAATTGACACAAAGGAGTGATTGTATAATTGACAAACAAAGGGAAGAGAGCGAAAGAAACAAAAACTGGTATTAAACAAAAAGTTTCCAGGAAAGGAGCCACTGGATCATTTAAAGAACCAAGGGAAAAGACATGTCAACTTCAGTATAAGGCATAAGTGGGTATTTGCATACCAAGGGACAAATGTGCATTAAGCATAAAATTTGTAGTCACTTATACAAAAAAGGTGTAGAAATATCAACTCTAGCAAGACATAGATATAGAAATTTGTAGATTGAAAAAAATGATATAAAACAATAAAATTGCAAAATAGAGATCACAGATCTCACAAGACATGACAAACATTTTATAACATGACCTCTATATGTTGTACCAGCATGGATCCAAATTGTTCAAAAGAAAAGGGAGATACACAGACCAATTTTAAAAATCTTTACTTCTTTAGAAGTTACATGCCCCAATATATTTTACATGTATAATATAGCTTTATTGGTTCGACAGTCATTACGCAATTTATATTTTTTACAATAAACCCAAATATGCTTATTTACCAAGTCTTTGGTGCTCCAAAATGTAGATAATTTATCGAGTAGAGATCCATATCTTCAGTATGCCAGGCAAATGTAGTTTTCCACATACCAAAATACAAGTAAGCAGTGTTAACGCCTTCAATTGAAATGCCATAATCTTCATTAACATAATCCAGTATGGTACCCAATCTGTTTATATTCCACTCCTAAAATACAGAACAATTTAAGGAATATAAAAATACACTAATCAATACATTTTTTTAACTATTTATAAAATAATAATTGATTGAGAAAACATATTACAATAAAAAGAGGTTAATCTTTGTAAATGGGTATATTTATTTAAAAAACCCTTAAAAGGGCCACATCAATAGAACAAACGTTTTCGGACTACACAGTCCATCATCAGGTTATTAAAATCGAAAATGCTAGGTCATAATGCCTGAGCCACCAAAATATTAGGGTAAAAACCCTTTAAATTACATTTAGTTATGAAATGTTGTACATTGTGTTATAAAATAACTGTGATGTTCTATATTAAATTAAATTTGACCAAAGGTAACACATGGCTCAAATGGGTTCCAGAGCCGGGTGAGAGACAACCTCTGCACTCGGAGAACAACGTGGAACTCAACGTGGAGTTCCACGTTGTTCTCCGAGTGCAGAGGTTGTCTCTCACCCGGCTCTGGAACCCATTTGAGCCATGTGTTACCTTTGGTCAAATTTAATTTAATATAGAACATCACAGTTATTTTATAACACAATGTACAACATTTCATAACTAAATGTAATTTAAAGGGTTTTTACCCTAATATTTTGGTGGCTCAGGCATTATGACCTAGCATTTTCGATTTTAATAACCTGATGATGGACTGTGTAGTCCGAAAACGTTTGTTCTATTGATGTGGCCCTTTTAAGGGTTTTTTAAATAAATATACCCATTTACAAAGATTAACCTCTTTTTGTTATACGTGGTATACAGCCAGCTACAGGAATTTTTCCTTGTGGATTATATTACAATAAGACTTACATTAACATTATCATCAGTCAGACTACCAGAAACATCAGCACCATAGATAGGAGCAACATAAGTAATATTTTTCCAATATTTTCTTTCCAAATCCTCGTAATCAAAATGTCTTGGAGTAGCATAACGTTCTGAATTAGCCAGCTCTTGGTACTGCTTTACAGTCATTGATTTCTTTTGAATATTAATTTGTTGATACAGTCCTTGTTTACCAGTGACTACTTGACAAATTGGGGCAGGAATAGTTACATTTAGATCTTCAACATTGTATCCAGACTTGCGGGGCACCCATTCTGGAGGAGGAATAACCTAAAATGAGGCGACAATATTAAATAAGATACATTTCTCCAAAATGAGAACAATCAGTACTACAATGTGAAAAATAAAAAGCAATTCATCAAAATTGTATGAGACCTAGTAGGTTTATGTATATTTAAAATTGAATACAAACATGTCCATTCAAGTTATGTTCTAGTAAAATAATATAATTAAACAATTCTAAAAAATATATATTTATCTATGCCCAACACACCCAACAAAGGAAAATCAAACGATAAACTAACTGTTTGTTTAATTTTTGTACCAAAACACTATTTTCCTATAAATTAGGTAACAATGAATTTTAACATTACAATTTCTGTAAGGAGTCAAAAATATGTATATAAAAATATTCTACATACTTTTGCCAATCCAGCCTTGTGAGCCATTTTTGATTCCATGTGCTGAATATATTTAGAAAAGTCCTTAAATTCCTCCCAGGTAGGACGGAAAACCATAATGCTGAAAAGGTGAAAGTGACAATCCAATTGTAATAAAATATATGTAATTATAACTTACTTTGGAATTCTCGGAAAATTTGGTTCAGCCATTTTATTATTATATCGATTTTTACTTACAACGAATCAATGGTATATCAAAATACAATGATTTACATTATAATAATATATTTCATAATATTGTTCGTCAATTTTTTCGGGCGGCCATGATTGACACACTAAAAATCACGTATAAGGAAACTAATCATTTCCAATGATGATATATAATTTTCAATATGAAATAGTCGTACGATAGTTGAGGATTAACTTCACTATGCACAAGAAAATTATTTCACTGTTTTTTTAATAATCTTACATAGTTCAACAATAAAAACAACTACCGAACACCTCCTACAACGTTTACTGATGCATCTAAGCGCATGCGTACTGTTTGTACAAACAAACGTGTTTGCATATACAGTCACAATTATCGGACGTATCGGACTTCTTTATTAGCTTTAAACAGGGTGTGCGTTTATCTCTTTTCAAGATTGCTATAATCCAGTCAAATGAACAAACGTAACGGGATATCAACCAATAAGATGCATAGTAGTCAACACAACTAACTGGGCAGAAACAAACTGCAGGGACGACTTAGGCTGTTTTTTGTGACTACATCGATAATAAAGCTTATGTTTATGTCAAAAATTGTATAAATCAATGTGGTTTAAAACTTAATGAATTTATTGTGCAGTGTTAGCTGTGAAGTTCAAATATTACTTGTTTACATAAACACAGCTTTTACGAACGGTAAATTTTTTCAATATTCACAGGACGGTAATATTGGTGGTATTCACTGGTGTATACACCAGTGAAATAGTATGTTTGTTATTGTTTAGTAATTGGCGTTAAATAAACATTCATTAAAAATCATATTTAATTCATAAGTTTCTATCAAACACGGTTCAAACACATCAAACACATTAGAGATTAGTGAAATCAGAGGTATTGGAATGAATATTTCCAAAATTTTGTAAAACCGTACCTGGAATTATTTGACAGGCTAAAGAAAGATAGAGATACATGATTCCTAAGGTTGAAAAGAAACCGAAAACATGTGCTAATTACTATGATGTTAATAAATATTATTTTGTGCTAATGCCACAGGAGATAACAGATAAAATTCTAGGATCACAATTATGATTATTTCATGGATGCCTCGATGGTGATATGCATTATACAAGTTAATACAACTATCAATTTGTCTTACTATATTTCAAGTTTAGATAGAATGTTAATGCAAATTTCTAAATGTGAGATGGATTGTGTACTGTTGGTATTGTTCATCTATGGCAAATAGATTCATTTTAAGATGGCGTGCATTTGTACGTAGGCGTCCACTGTACATTGTCTTGTCAGGTGAGATGTTATTAGGATCTGGCCTTTAACGTCCATGTTTCTATTCCGTACGAGAGAACAGGCCAAACGTACCTAACTCTTTAACAACTTGTATCTCAGATTAAAATCCAACTGGTGTTCAGTCATAAATTTACGAAGTTACAAATAAGCATTTCTGGCTTGTTTCAGGCTCATTTAACCCTTTGCGGACCAAATTAAGTATCAAATAAAAAACTGAAAATTTATTACAAGTTAGGGAAACAATGATACAAAAGAGAACGTCAAATGTCAATTAATTTTTTAACTTTGATGGTACACAAGGCAAATATCGAACACAGTATTTAATTAAATCTTGCCCAAGTACTTTCGATCACAAGATCATCCTCAGGGGCATTTCGTCAATTGTGGCCTATCCAGCAATAACCGAATGTCATACATGTAAACTGGGACATAACAAATACACTAAAGACAAACAAACACTTTAAAATTTAAATTGGAGAAGCTACATTTTTATATTATAGAAGCCGGAGACAGAATTAATTTTTTTTTTATATAAGGGGTGTTTTAGTTTGGAGGTGGTTCCATGGTGGAATTACTGGTACTGATTAGTACTATCTCAATTTTTATAACATGATAATAAATATTCATAAAGGAGGTAAATTCACTTTATTTTTTATGATATTCTAAAAAACAATTGATTTTTTCAGATAAGCATAGTCCCGCCTTACATACAGTACAATGCCACCTCGTTCGATGGAGTTAGTTTCTTATATTGCATCGTGCACATCTTACTTTGGTTCCATGTATTGGCATATGCTCCGACTTGTTGGTGCGTATTTCAATGGGAACGCAGATTTTAAATTTATTTACCTCAGAATCGGATGATTTTCTTCCTTTCTGAGTAAGCGAAGGAGTACCCATAAGTCCTTTAGAAACTACTAACCGAAATTCTTTTGAGGAAAGTGTTGATGCACCACCAGATCGTTCTTTAAAAATAATGAAGGAATTAACAACCACTAAGTCAACAAAATGCCAGAATAACTATGCCACCATTTCTTGGACTTGCGGTTAATTTCGTAACAAGATTTGAGCATATCTGACTTGTCCACATAACCCATATGTTCGTTGTAATATTTGACCAAACTTTGGCAAGTAACGTTTTGTTTGTACAGATTCATCATAGACCAGATTTGTCTGGTCTGTGATGATTACGCTTCTTCACGAGTTTAGATGTGGAGTAGAGATGACTTTGATTACCAATGAATTTTGAGATATTTATTTTGACCATCGAGTAAAAAACGGAAAATCTTCATTCAGCGTAGTTTTGTACTTCAACTTTTTTGTACTTCATTTTTTTTCTTCTATTTACAAGCACATCTTGTATGTTCTTTATCTTTTTACTAGTTACTTCAAAAGGCACCAATTAGGAAGCTTTTATTTAATCAATCTAGTCGCCTGGCCCAAAGATGTGAGAAGATTTTCTGGCAGCCTTTTCAATAACCCCAAAATCTTATTCGTTTGGCAAAAAGGAGTGGCCAGTTACAAAGAATTTGTGATCTATCGTTGTTATGTTTATGTAAGGATATTGAACAAAATTTAGTAACGTGACAACCACTTCAAAATTTCTGTTTTGTCCTGTACATGAATCTGAATAGAGAGTTACGTGGTTATGATTTTTGGCATGTTTTTTTAGATAAATGATCAATATTGAAGATATTTCCTTAGATCCTCTACTACCATCTGTTTCGTCCCACACATACATAAAGCCATTGTTTTGATGAAGGAATGAATTTCTATAGACATACATATTTCTTTTGTAATATGCAATGGATGTAGAAAATTTCGGGTTATGGCAGTGCTTTTTTAAGGTCAAAAGTAGCAACATAGTGTTCATCTGATGCGTCATCACTGTCCAATTTTAGTGCATCTCGAGCTTGTTTTGCTTTTGATAGGTGAACATTTTTCTCAACAATAAGTGAATTGGATGTCTCAGGTTCAGTTGCTGCAGCTATTTTTAAGTACAGTTGATCGCATTTGCGCACGTATCTTTTTATGGTATTTTTGAATATTAATTAAACTTAGTTGTAAACATATGATAAAAATGTTTTATTTGTAGAACATACATACACCGCTAACTTAATTTTCGTAAAAAATGGAAAATGGTGTTCGTAGTTCTCTGCTATGGTTCTGAACGCCTCAAATGTGAGTATGAAACTAGCATAGCTGATCTAAATAATATATTCTTCAACTGTCTTTTAGATACATCTCAATACAAGCACGGGGTTGCTACAAGAATTGCTGAAAGCAGATTTAAATACTAACTTAAATATACTATTAATTGAAGATATGCAAAGATTTTTAAAATAATTATATTTCTACAAAAAAAAAAAAAAAATTGAAGGTGTGATTGAAAAATCGAACGGTTGAATGGATATTTCCTTTGTAGTTGTACCTAATATGTTGCACCATATTTAACTGTGGTTTATGTCTTGTGTTACGTTTGGAATGTCCTACGATTAATTATCGCAAGAGACTCCTGGTTCGAAAAAATACAAAATTAAATTTCTATTACAAAAATTACTTTCGTATTAAAATACACAAATGTGGCTTTAAAAGTTTTATTCAGTTTCCTTCGGTCGGTGGTATAAATTCGACTAAATCTAACTCTAAACAAATTGAATATACTCTTATACTATATGATATTCAATACCCTACATTCTCAGACGAAAGTCATTAAAAAAAGCTGCATTCACCAGCTCTTAGCCGGAGATTCGATACGCTGATTTCCAAGGGGATTTTTAAAATAAACATATTACTTAAGTACCTATTAACTCGACATCTTGTGTATTACAATACAACGAAGTAGCTCTGATAAACTGCAGAGCATGAAAAGTGTTCTCCCTGTATGAATACTAATATTCATATGTAATTACGTGGCTAAAGGTTCCAAACCAAAAAACTTACCAATTAATAATGAAAATCAACAAATTCGAATGAAGTCAGGTAGTGAGTTGAGTTTTCTGAACCTCATAATAGTATTTTTGTGTAGTAAACAGGTTATAAACGCCTTAAAAAATATGAAAACCGGAAAATCCTCTGGACCTGACTACGTTCATAGTGAAATTATACAACTTTTGGAAGAAGACAATTTAGAACTATTATCAAGACTTTTCAGCAGTATATACAAGACTGGTACAATTCCACAAGATTGGTTAACGTCTACGTTTGTGCCTATACCTAAATCAAACTACGCAAAAAAATGTAACGACTTTCGATTAGTAAGTCTCATGCCCCATATTATGAAGCTATTTCTAAAAATGATCCATAACAGAATTTACAAAAAATGCGAAGAAGATATGGGCCCGGAACAATTTGGATTCCGAAACGGTATGGGAACTCGAGAGACTTTGTTCAGTTTCATTGTTATCATGCAAAAGGGTAGGGATCAACAAAAAGATGTCTACTTGTGCTTTATAGATTATGGAAAGGCTTTTGACAAAGTCAAACACGATCAGCTAATAGAATGCTTGCAAAAAAGAATCTGGATCCAAACGACATTACATGACATACAATACATGAACTCTACTGGAACCAAAACGCCTCTGTCAGAACTGAAATGGGTAATACTGAAACAATAAACATCCAAAGAGGAGTTAGACAAGGTTGTATACTATCACCATTATTATTCAACTTATACTCAGAGGACATCTTTGCGCATGCTCTAGATGAAGCACAAGAAGGAATTAAAGTCAATGGAAAAATCGTGAACAATATCAGGTATGCCGATGATACAGTACTGATTGCTGACAGTGAAGAAGAACTATAAATTCTTTTAACCAAAGTAGTGCGGAGAAGGAGAACTATACGGCCTTAAGGTGGATGTAAACAAAACCAAAACAATGGTAATTTCAAAAAAACACATACCAGTTGTAAACATACTATACTACGTTTCACGTTTAGAAAATAACATTGCGAAGATAGGGCCATGTATTTCTTATGGACGATAGCAACGCGGCGTTGCCACGACACACACAAGCACAATTTAGGGTTATATAATTTGTATTTTCGTTTCCACAAACATGAATTAAATTAATGTTTTTTAACGTAATTGACCAAAAGTGCCCATTCGAAACAAGAGATGAAAAGTAGGGAAAATGATTTTAATTAGATAAATAGTATTTACAAAAGATAATTTTATTTTATCTTATTTTAATTATAGTAACGACAGTTTATTTGTTTTTCGGTGAGAATACGATATGCCATGAATCATATAAATCAGTAAATAATATTGACCGCTTGGAATGCGTATATCTAATTACTAATTGCAACTTAAAATAATACGATGTGCGTATGTCAGCTATTTTATGTCGTCTCTGACTACATAATGATAATAAGGCTTTTATTTAGTAGTTATTCTGACTTTACAGTTAAATATTAATTGAAAATGAAAATTCAAAAATTAAGCAAAGGGAATATCTTGGATATCCGTGCAAAAGAGAGTTTCTGAGAGTTTTGGCAACACTGATCTCCATAAGCGTAATGTTATTTTCTTAACGTGAAACAAAGATTAGTCAACAACAATCTAGTTGAGTAGTTGAAGTGAAAAAGTTTAAGTATCTAGGCTGTTGGACACATGAAACTTTAGACCAAAAACAATAGGTTAAATATACAGATTTAACGAAATAAATTCGGAACATACGAAATATTATGTATTTCGGCTCAATTCTGCTGGTGCTAGGTGGTTGGCCAACAAAAGGTTGTCAAATAATTATATTATAAAAATCAAATACTTCAGCGGGCTGCTGGATTCTGAACTAATTCATTGGTGGTCAAGCCACCTATCGCTTCCTAAAGCCGGCCACTCATGGTACAGCGGTGTCGTTCGACATAATCGGACAGCGGCGTTGTTTAATTTGTTGGTATATCTGGTGCGCCCACACACTATACTGCGCCGCAGTATTTGTTCGGTTCTCGAACATGTCAAATCAAACAATCATTTTAGCGTCTCTTACTTTGTGTATAACTAAGCATAAACAGAAACCTAAAATAAAACGTAGATTCTGGTGCAAAGAATCCAATATTTTGTTGCAAAATAAATCTCGTCTGCCCCTGCACCCGATTTACTGGACTGCACTGCTAATTTTAATTCTCTTTTATAGGATGTTCTAAAATTGTTCAAAAATTCTAGAATGTCCATTGCCTGTTTTCGGGCGTTTCTATCGTGATACGTTTTATCTTTTATTCGCTATAAGCATTCTTGTGTTTGATATAATTTAAAAAACTCTTTTAAAAAATTCTCGCTAAATCAAGCCATTTCGATTTTCTATAATATGATCAAAGCAAGTGTGTAGTTAAAAACGAAGTTGAACAACGCCGCTGTATCGTGAGCCCCTCTTTCATTTATCGGATATAGAGATTTTGAGCGGTGTTGCCAATATCATTCCACTAGATGTTTCTAAAATAACTACAAACTTCTGAAATAACTACAAACCATTAAGTTTATTTTTGTTATTAGTCTGTTGTAGTAGATTGGTAAATAGAATGAAAAATATAGGCAAATATCCGATTTATTTAAAGATACGAAGAAGATATAACCCTCAAAAAGATCCGCAAATCGGATTATTACACTGCGATTGGCAACATTGTTACGCAAACAACATTGTTGCGAGGCAGATAGTTGAACGATATTTTATACAATGTCTAACATCGGGTATGGATTTATTTTTGTCCAAGTTTTATATTGGTCCACTATTTCAAATACAGTTCAAACAGACATATATTAAATTATATGATCCGTTTTAAATTCGTTCAATATGTAGAATAGAACAGGCAAGAAACACCTTAAAGATGCGACAGTTACGCACTACCCGTAATCTTGATGTGTCTCTACGATACCGCATGATAAAGTGTTATGTATATAGAGTACTATTACACGGCGTGGAAGCTTGGACGTTAACAGTCAGCTCGTTACGACGTTTAGAGAGCTTTGAGATGTGGGTATTTCGTCGTATTCTGAAAATTCCATGGACCGACCGCGTTAGAAATGAAGAAGTTTTAAGGCGTATGAATAGAGAACGTGCACTCACAGAAATTGTCAAGAAGCGTAAAACGTCTTATCTTGGACACATATTTAGATACGCCAGGTATAACTTCCTTCAGCTTATTATAGAAGGGAAAATAGAAGGCAGACGCGGTCCAGGTAGACGACAAATGACCTGGCTGCGCAACATCAAAGATTGGACAGGATTAGATTTTCAAAGTTTAATAGGGAAAGCCCAAAAGAGGGAAGACTTTGTAAAGGTCATCGCCAACCTTGGCTAAGAAGACGGCACCCAAAAAAAAAGAAACAGGTTATAACTTTTTTACTTACCTTTATGCAATGAGACCCATAAGGAATTTAGTTTGTTGCTCTTCAAAAGTTTCCGAAGGAACTGTTAGTAGTTCCAAGCTGGTACAGTTTCACAACTCTTTTTAGTGCAGAGACAATAAATATTTTTGTCGAATTGAGGCGTTTTTCATGCAATCTTTGGCACAAAAGTCTTACAGAAATTCAGCTGGATGTTCAGTCAGCTAAAGGCACCCTCAAAGCGATCCTCCTTATCTGTATATGTAATACAGATTTTCTAGTATTACCTCTTTATTTATACGTCCTTGTTCTGCACCTATATCTTCTCCAGCTGTTTTCCTGTTTTTAAGTTTGCATATTTTCTCTTTCATTTCTGTATATGTTCTTCTATCTTCTTCTTTATCATATTGTGCGGTATTCGTTATTGTTTTTCTTTCTTCTTCTCTATCCGTTTCTTGATATATTTCTTCGAAATACTTTTGTCATTTTTCTGCTTCTATAGCTATACGGCTTTCTTTATTTTTTAATACCAGGAGTCTCGTCTAACCGACAAGACGAATCCCCAAGCTGAGGGCTGAGTCTCAATAGATCGCAGCGTGGAAACTGCTCTACCAGGTACAACACCCTGCCAGGTACGTAAGTCGTCTACAGACAATTCCGAGTTCCAACATAGAAAGGATTATAATACCCATGTTCGTCCGTCTAAAGATCTGGTCTACTGGTAAGGATCGATCCCACCGTAAACCGATAATCTCAACGGAAATAAGGGCTCGTGCGACAATCGTAGCGAACTACGATTGCCTAGTAAAGTAACATTGTTTTGAGCCTTTCAACTCTCGGACACTCGGACCTCCAAGAGATATCGTTGCCAACTTTGACTAGAAAGGATATGACCTTAGAGGCGTTCAGGCATAATCCCACGGATGGTAGCTTCGCACCATTACCCGCTCGAGTAAGTGCGTCAACCAAATGTCCGAACCTGCGGTTCCTCTCGTACTGAGCAGGATTACTATCGCAACGACGAGTCATCAGTAGGGTAAAACTAACCTGTCTCACGACGGTCTAAACCCAGCTCACGTTCCCTGTCTATGGGTGAACAATCCAACGCTTGGCGAATTCTGCTTCGCAATGATAGGAAGAGCCGACATCGAAGGATCAAAAAGCGACGTCGCTATGAACGCTTGGCCGCCACAAGCCAGTTATGCCTGTGGTAACTTTTCTGACACCTCTTGCTGAAAATTCTTCAAGCCAAAAGGATCGATAGGCCGTGCTTTCGCAGTCCCTATGCATACTGAACATCAGGATCAAGCCAGCTTTTGCTCTACGCGAGGTTTCTATCCTCGCTGAGCTGGCCTTAGGACACCTGCGTTATTCTTTGACAGATGTACCGCCCCAGTCAAACTCCTCGCCTGGCAGTGTCCTCGAATCGAATAAGGCTGGAAGTAAGTTGACGCTCGAAACGAAGCACACGAACGCTAGCCGGGTATCCGAAATGCGAGCCTTATCGGAACCACGAAACCGACGAACGGCACAACGCAACGAAACGTCACTCCGTGCTCTTGGCTCAAGAATACCGTGACAGTCGCCGCCTCGTGAGCGAACGACGCACGCGTTTCGCCTTACCGAGTAAGTAAAGAAACGATGAAAGTATTAGGTTACCTCGTTCATATTTTCTATTTTTTGATTTAAATAATTTCTGTCTTTTGCTTTTGATCTTTCTATTTTTCTCGTTCCTTTTCTTTGCTTGTGCTTAACCATTTCAATCTTAGTTCTATTCTTTTCTTCCACTGCTAAATTGCACTCATCGTCAAACAATTATTTCTTCTTTTATTTTGCATTTTGTCAACCACTTTTTCTGCTGCATTGTTTTTTCTTTTTTGATTTTTCCACTGTTCCTTTATTCGTTGTTCTCTGAACTGCATTTTTGTATTTACTTCTTGTCCAAATTTTTTTACTTCTTTCTCTTTCAATTTATCTACGTCACATTTTCTCTGTCCATTTAGCCCGAAGGCACTACTTTCACTAGAAGATACTTTGGAGAATTAGTGAAGACGTCCAAGATACTTTGGAGAATTAGTGTTATCACATTCAGGTTCGGTGGTTGGTAAACATAAATCAAGACAATAAAAAACATTGCACTGTTAAATATATTTTCTAGACATTGTAAATTATAACATGGTGGCAGCTTGGAAAATCAATATAATAAATAACCCGAAAACTATTTTCAGAAAAATGTACTAGTATATTACATAAAAATTACAAATTATATTTAGAAAAATTTTGAAGCAGAGTGACTATTTTATTTTTAGCCTATGTACACGCAATACACAATCCAACCTCAAATTCAAATAAAAAGAATCGATATTACAAACCAAAGGAAATATTGCTAACCACCCACTAAAAAAAGTCTAGACACACACTTTATTTTAGCGATGTCTCAAAGAAACCTTAGTAAAATCCAAATTACCATTGCACTTAAAAAGAGTTCCAACTTATTATAATACGTTCACAGCCCACAAAAAATTTTACAGAATGCATAAACACCACGTGATGATCTTTCCGAAGGTAAATTCATTCGTAAAAAGAGTAGGTAATCGTCCATAATCCCAGTAGGACCGGTTTTTCTTGGCTGTGAATATATTATAATTATTTGTAATAACATATTTGCTATCATCGATAATTCTTAAACAACTCCCAATTTATGTAACAATAAAACACTGAAAACTTTGTATTCAAACTCCTAAACCCCCAATTTGTTAATTTCGTAACATTACAAAAGTCAGAAAAAAAAAATGATCTACATATAATCCATTACTTCGAATTTTCAATATATCTCTTTTTACAAAATATGTGCAACCAACACTACAATCTTATTTGTACAAACATTCAAATTTTACCAATAGATGGCGCATTTTTTGTGTAAATACTTAATGCCCATGCCTAATTATCGACTTACAAAGATATTGAGTTGAAAAAACTGAATAGATCTCCATCATCAGGAAGAAAAACAACAACATAGTAAGAAAGTTTTATTACCAAGTAATTTTACTAAAATGTAAGTATTATTTTTATAATTCGGAACTAAAAAAAATGTAAAGAGAAACGAGAGGCCTACACGAAGTACAAAACATCAAATACTTTGGAATCTCGAGACACCTACAGAAGAATACGAAATGAAACAAAGCAGTTGGTAAGAAGAACAAAAAATGAACACTGGAAACAGTTTACAAAAATGATGTGACTTCTACGGTATACAAAATCCCTAGAGATGACAAAACTTATACAAGAAATAATATTGCACTGCAAGATCTCCAGACGCATGGAGAAACAACATAGTGATACCAATGTCCAAGAAAGGAGATAAAGAAGACCTCAACAATTATAGAGATATACATCTACTGAACACCGCACTTAAGCTTTATCAGATATCAGATAAACAACAAGGATTCAGATCCGGAAGATCCTGTGTAGACGCTGTATTTGTACTAAGACAAATCACAGAAAAGGCCATCTAGTACAATAAACCGGCATATCTATGTTTTATAGACCTGATCGCATCCAAGTCGAAGACGTCTTCACTTACTGTATAAAAGATAAGGAAAATAATAAAGCAGGAAGCAAGGTTCAGATATCAGGGAATATATGTAACTAGTTACCGAGATGCTGAAGAAGACCTAAGACAAGACACAAAAACAAGAATTTATACAGCAGCAATTAGCAAATACATCTAAAACATGGCGACTATTAGAAACAGAAAAACAGAGATGAAAATACTTGAATAAGCAACATTTATTTTTATCACCAAAACGCCAAAAACAACTAGACAGTTGTTATAAGAAGCTTGGTGTTTTCATTGATGTTTTGAAAAAATGCGAGGTGATAAAACAAGTAAAAATATTCCAAATGAAAAAAAAAAAAAAAAAAAAAACGGAAAGCATAGCTTTCTTATCGCCTACGCATAGAGTGACGGTTTTTAATTTATTTTATTAAGACACACGCATGAGACTACGTTTATTACTCCACGTAGTGTGTGGTCGTGCGATGTATCGTTACAATCTGGCTTGTCGTTTTGGGATGCTGCAGACGAGAAGTGTTGATCGCAGAGCATGAAGACGATCTACAAAGAAAATTACCTCAGTTCCACTTTAAGGCTAAGGAATTTTTTTTCTTAAGGAATAAGATGCTCTATTGAGAACAGTGAAGTGATTGAAGTCCTGATGAAGACTCCTGAAACCTGAGAAATCCAGAAACTAAGTAACAAATGCAAAAAAACACCAATCAACTGGAAAATCATGGAGTTTGCAGTATGAGAAATATATAGGACAAACCTATTGACGAATCTCCTGCAGACTACACGAACACATATTAAGTTTAAGGTACAAGGAAGTTTGATCAACCTTATTCACATGAACAGACATAAAATAAACCTTACCTCTTGCAAGGAAATCACAGTTTCCTGAAGAAATGCAGAAGCCTACCCTGTATACAACTTACCGACCCGGCAGCACATGTGTACGATCTTCAAGGTATATAATGACACTAAACAGGAAGAATATTCTTTGTTGAACAAGGAAAATTAGTAAATGGGAATATAAGAGAATAGCAGAATTAATTCATATGAAATCATGTCACATTCCATATCAAGACACGATCAAAGGAAACTTGCTGTAAAAATGTTGATCCAGCATGCACAGCATGACAGATGAATAGACACCAGTGGTGGAGACAAGAGGATACAAAAAGGAATGATATATACAGAATATTAAGGAATATTTTCTATATATTCGTAATAAAATTTCCACCACTTATCAAATCTGAAAGTGACTACAGATTTTCAGGTCATTCACGTCTATATGTCTATCGGTGTCTTTTTATGCGAATTAGAAAACATTCAAATATTAGAATATTACAAAAGTTTTATATTTATACCATTTCTGAGAAATATTGTAAACTATGACTAAAAAATTCCTTTACCAGATAAAAATCATTAACTTCACGGGAAACAAATATTTTAGAGCCCACAGTCAACTGGTACATTTATTTAAGGCAATAAAATGCTAAATTAATATTTTTTAAAAATATTAGACATACATAATTGTTTATTACATTTATTGAATTCTTTACATGCCTCTTAAAAAACTGCTAATATCTAGATTTTCGATGTTTCAAGAAAAATCGCTAATATACAGATGATTTGTATTTATACATAAAGTTATATATAGAATAAGGTGTGTGCCTTCAACTCGTTAACATTAAACTGAAAATGCTATTAACATATTCATCAGCGTGGATGGGAGCTTTATCAAAAAAGAAAAATAAAAACTTAAAGCATAATAATTATTCATCAAAATTTTGGGAGAGTAAGAAGTTAGCCGCCAAGTTTTCATTTTTCTCACAAGCGAAATAGGCCTGCACTACTAGGTGTTCGGGGAAGCCCAAGGCTTTCAGCCTTTCGATGGCGTCCTTGTCTTGTGGGGTGACTTGGATCATGCCTTGTGGTGGTCCTCCTGCAGCAGCTTGAGATCCTAATGCACCTCCCCCTAAAAAAATAACAAATATACTGTATTTACCAGTCTAGTAAATTTAATAATTCATTTTATGCTGTGTTGGGTCAAATTTTGAATTCGATTGGAAGTTACTGTATAAACAATCACACTTGTTCATAGCCAATATTAATTGTAACTTAAAAGTAAAACAATATATTCAAATGAAATTTATCAACAAAATAAAGTTATGCCTAACCTAAACAATATCATGGCAAAATTAAAAGAAAAAATATTGTTGATGATTGTTCCACAAAGACTTTGGGAAGATTTTTGACCAAAAATGGTTTTAAATATAAAACTGTCAATAAGAGACAAACCATAATGTAAAGTAGCCTCCTAATAAAATGGAGATATAAATATATCTAAAAAATTTCACAATACCGCAGTGAGTGTCGAGAAATTTATTACCTGGACGAGACTTGGCTTGATTCTCACGAAACGATAGATAAAGCCTGGCAAACGCTACAAGAAAATGCCAAATAGATGTATCCCATTCTAGAGGCAAGCGAATTTGCATATTACATTGCGAACGCCAACATGGATGGGTGAACGATGCGTTATTGTTGAGTTCCAAAAATATTAAAGACAGTTCTCTAGACTACCACCAAGACATCAAAGGGACGGTTTTTGAATCGTGATTTGAGAATACATTACTCCCAAATTTAAAAGAAAATATCGTGATTGTTATGGACAATGCATCATATCACTCCAGATGCATTAAAACAATTCCAACCAAACAGAGTAGGAAGAATGAAATTCAAGAATTTTTAATAGCCAAAGACCTATATTTTGAGGATCATTACACCAAAGATCAACTAATCCAAGTTCCTCATACAAAAGTCGTAACTAAAAAACATATTGTAGGTAAATTAGCCACTAACAATGGACATATGGTTTTAAGATTACCTCCTTATTACTGTGTGTTGAATCCCATATAATTGCTATTAATAATTGCTATGGGCTCAGTTAAAAAACGATGTCCGGAGGAACAAAACATCTCCAAAAGATGCCCAAAGTGTTGTCGAACTAATAAAGTGGTTGTTGAATTAATAAAAACAGAGTTCAAAAATATCAGTGCTCAAAACTGGCAAAATGCAATAGAACATGTACAAAAATGTCCCTGCCTTGACGCAAATTATTATTAATTTTGCTGGGAGTGATGAAGAGAACGATAATGACGATGAGTTGGAATATATGTTAACTCTAACTTGAAGATCCCAAGTGAATGTGAATTTCCGAAGTGGCGAGTATACCATTTAATTTATAATAGTAAAAAAACCAATGAGTAACTTTTTGTAGAATAGCATGTGACATGTAAGTAAATAAAAACTATTTTTGAAGTTATACTTCTTTAGGCGCGATTGGGAAAAATTGACAAGAGTAAATTTTTATAAAATTCACAGTATGAAGTACGCGCATATTCACAGCATGAAGTTAGTTGCTACATCTAAATCTTTAAGTTAGGTATTAATGCAAATAAAGTGTGAAAAAACATATATTGGTGTTTTTGTTAATTCATTATATTAGGACGGTGATAGATATTTACTGATTATTTGTATATTGTATATGTATATTTTTCTGTGTAAAAATCGACCTGGTTCAGTAGTTTTCATCTAATTTATAATTACGTAGAAATTACATTTATCCGTTACTTTAGCATTTCACTGTATAATAAAATAATATTAAGCGTTCATTAACGAACATAGCACGGTTAATAAAACAACTTGAAATCCACCAAAAGAAAATTTTTATTTTCGTAACTGAAAAAATATTTTATTTTGCCAGTCTTAATCTTGAAAAAAGGTGAAGGTAAATTTTTCTAAATACTATATTATGAGGTAGTTTACTTTAAAAATAATCAGTATTTCGATCAATTGATAAAAACATTTAAGTACACAAATTAATAATTCGAAATTCAACACTTTCTCTGATAATTTTATTTGAATGTTGGATCTGTGTTACAACAGGTATCAATATCGGATTACCAGTAGGTCAGCTTTTAAAATTGCGCATAGATCTTGTCCCTCACTATACAACAAGAATCACGAAAAGAATCAACGTAGAGAAGGAAATCAACAAAAAGAAAAATACTAATTAGAAACATTAATGTGGAGTTGTTTCACACTTCTAAATTACAAAAAAAAATGAAGACCCGGCATAGAAAAAAAAAAGAGAATTCTATAAAATACTTCAAGACATATTTGTAAAAATTTAATTACAACGTGATAAACTTTATTAGCAGATGACTATAATATACAAACATTCAGTATTTTTAAAAACATAAACAAAACAATCTGATAAATTTAACTGCACAAACAAATTTATTGTCAAACGTTTTATACAATGCATTTAGATTTTGGCACAGCTTCAAAAACAAGTTCATCGGCCATTTATTTAAAATAGGAGACGCCATTCGACGTAAAACGGTGCAAATTAAAAATTAGGAATGAAGACTACAAATTTTACATTAGTGTAATCAAAATATACCATCGGAAAAAGTGTTTATACTCATCATATACTATTTATACATAAGTTATTGTTCCCACTAGATTCTATTGGGATATTTGGACAATAAATGCATCTGTACATTTATTTATATTCAGGATTTAAAAGTTTTAGGTCGCAGTTCTTTTCGTTAAGGGAAGTTAAGTTTTTTAGTTAATATATACCTATAAACATATTTTTTAAAGAAAATTCGCTGTTCCTGAAGTCCTCACTGATTGCATTACCCATATCCATTGCCTCTTGTATGAATTACAATGCTACTGGTAAGGATCACCATGTCATTGGCATATCTTATGTAGTCCATTAATTCACTGTTTATTTTTATGTCCTCCATACATTTTTTAAATAATTCCTCGAAGTAAATATTGAAGGGAAGTCTCTTTCTTAGAATATCTAACACTTGTTTATGAAAATGGTTGCCAATGTGAGTCCATAATACAAGTATATGGGAAATGAGTCAATACTCACAATCTTAAGTAGTTTTTATTATTTAATGATGGTCAATTTTGGGCAACTGGTTTTTGTCTGTCATGATTTAATACAATCACTTCCCTCAATGTGTCCCATCTCTCTATTACTGCCGATGTAGACTAGACGCAAAATAAGATTTAAGTCTTGTTGAAATTGAATTGTGCCATTAGATGTTCTAATTTCAGTGAAAATTTAGAAATTACATACATTATTTCCCTTAAAAAACACCCCTGGGAAAATGATTTTGTGCACTTGGATAGCTTTACAAGTAACACATTTGTAAATTTAACCAAAGTATGACCCTACAATACTTAACTTTTTCCCTAATGTTTCAGAAACTGCACTACCCCTGTCATGATCTTTAAATATAAACTATATATTAAACATAAATCCAACATTACTGATCTTGGATAATCATGCAACCCACTTCTCAATTGACAAAATAAAATTTAGCAAAAGACAATGAAATTAATGCTCACTTTACGCCCACATTGTTACAACAAATTACAGCCACTGGATGTGGCTGTTTATGCTCCATTTGAAACACACTATAACAGTGCTATAGACTCATGGATGATGAAAAATCCAGGAAACCCAGGAAAGACAATTATTCAAATTTTAATGTGTCGAATATGCATCTGGTAAATTTCTGACCCCCCAGTAACATAAAGCCAGATTTAAAAAAATGCAGAATAGTGCCTTTTAATCAATACATCTTTGATAAGAATTACTTTTTGATAATAGGAATTGATTGATAGGAATGAAATATTAGAGGAGGATGATACAAATTGTAAACAATGTCTGTCAAGCTGCAGCAAAAATTTTACAAATAAAGATTCTGGTTTTCACCACAATGAAGAAATTGTTGAAACTGACAAGAAACATCACCTCTTCAAAAGTCCAGAACAATTGTTTGGTTATCCCAAAGCCAAACCCTGAAAAAATTTCAAAATGAGAAGAAAAGGCTGAGCAAAATTGTAACTGATACACCAGAGCAGTTAGAAATAAAAGAAAAACATCATGAGGAAAAAGGAAAGAAAGCAATTGCTCTCATTAAAAGCTCCAAGAGAAAATTAACAGAGAGCACTGCAGCTGTTGCACTAGCATCATCCAGTGACACTGATTCATTTGTGTTCGATTCCTCAGATGTCGAATCATTCACAGATTTTGAGTTTGGTCATTATCAGGATTTGCCTGAGATCAATTCTTATGTGCTGGTGGAATTTCGTGATAAAAAATGAGTGTTTTATGAATATAAACATTTTTGCGTCATATTGCTAAAAATAAAAACACAGCTCATATCACATGTTAAAAAAAGTGACGTTAGATATGTGTTGCCACCAATTCTTAATTGCAGGGGTACAAAACGACAGAAGTCCTTTATTTGATTTGCCATAAAGTTCGATAATCATTCATTTTGATTCAACTCATTTTGTTGAAGTTTATGTATATGTCATTTGATATTTTGAAATATAAAACGAATGTTTTAAAAATTTTTAGTTTTGGATATGTGTTTTTAAAAACAATTAATAAAAAAAACTAGTTTGTGATTACAAAACTATGAAAAATGGTTCAGGCCTAAAATTTGAACTTTGAACATGTATGAGTCATTGCGGTTTAGATAATCCACTACTTCTAACAATCTGTACTTTCTGAATGCCCAATTACGTCAATTTTCTTGTTTTAATGGTTTTTCGAATGATAGCAAAGGTTTTTGGTTTAGCACAAACTTTAAGAACAAAGACACAAACAATGAGGGGAGAAATATTGTTTCAAGAAAGTTCATGAGTTCGAGTACCTGGGGATTACCATAAAAAATAAAGGATAAAAAAATCTAGAAATGAAAAGCTGTTTGAAAGAGGAATGAAAACCATTATAAGGCTGTATAAAACCATGATTATGACAGCGAAGTTGAGTAATCCAAACCAAGCCTCTTGGTGGTAGTGAAACCTGGATAGTGAAGAAAAACCCGAAAAATATGTTGAATATTTGGGAACGAAGTGTTTTAAAAAAATATTTCAGGGAAAGAAAAATTAATGAAACATTTTGAGAACAAATGCAGAAATTACAGAGTTGTAAGGGAAATCAAAAATTGAAAAGATTTTTAGAACAGAACGAAGACTTAGATGGACAAAAAGCTCCATGCAGAGAAGATAATTGAAGAGAATAAGAGGAAGACCATGGAAAAAGTGATTTGACAGTTGTTGGAAGGATCGTAGGGAAAAATAGGATAAGAAACTGGAGAACTGTGACTATATATAAAGTGGAGAAAAGTAACTGAAAAACTCAAAACCATTTATAAACCAATAAAATATATGGAATTTTCATAATCCCATATATTTATAAAAAATATTCCTAAGACTGATTTTTAAGGTTTAGAATTTTAAATAAATATGATGAATATAAATAACTTAAGCGCTGCTACAGTGTTAAATAACTTCATTGTTGCAATGGTAACAGATAATAACCACACCCAACACTATTTTAATATTAAATCACATTTGATTCATGGAAATATATATTAGGGACACATTTATGTTCTTTGAATCATATATGAGTTTTTTTAGTCTTTAAAGTCTTTTATATAAAGTATACTAAAACTTTTTATACTAATACTAATTTTATAATAGAGAGAGAAATAATAATTTTATGAAATGTCATAATTTTACCTGTAAAGAGTACAATATGCCAGTTTTTAGTTTACCCTATTTAGATATAATTTTATATATCAATTTTTAACTAATATTTAAAATTATTCAATCTTGTATTTCTTTCCATATGACAGTTTCTTAACTTTATATTTTTTAGTGAAACATTTATGTTAAATTAAATAATGAATAAATGGTACTCACCACTAGGTACAGTGGCACTTCCACTTGTTGGTGCTCCACTAGCAGGTTCATTGAGCATCCTCACAAATGATTCTTGATTCTGGGATATTAGCTGTAATAAAGCAGGATTGGTTTGTCCGATTTGCTGCAGCACAGCATTCAACAGCTGTGGATTTTGTTGGATGACTTGCCTCATTTGTTGAAATTGGGGTTGAGTCCTCAAAAATGCCAAAGGGTCGTCTGATTCAGACTGTCTTTCATCTACACCTGAGAGATCAGCAGTTTCACTGACCTGAAAAAATACAGTGGTTCTGTACAGTCCTGAGTGCATTCTCCCTTGCGAAACTGAACTCTTTATATTAACATGTAACAGTTAACAAATAATAAGTATAAATAATATTGTACTTACCGCCTCCTGATCATCCATAGGAGGTATACCATTTATCAAATATTCTACTGCCCTATCTGGATTATTAAAGCTAGCTCTCAGTGCTTGTTCAACTTCATCTCTTGCATAACCCATATCCATAATGTTCCTCACCATGGTCTCATATTCCTCACCCATAAGTAGGGTGGATTCAGCTACACTACTTATAGTAGAAGGTGCTTCTGAAGCAGCTTGTGTTGTAGGGGCAGCAGGTGGAGTTTCTTCTGACGCAACTGGGGTACTGGTGGGAGCTTGTTGTGTTACTGGAGTAGCAGGGGTATTACTGCAAAAAAGATTATCTTACATTGGTTCATATAATGGATCTGGAGTAAAAAGTAAAAACTTAATACTTTCCCAAGTTAAAGCATTGTTGCTAAACAACACTCATAGGCCACACAGATCCTGACAGTGCCCATGCTACACTCAAACAGAGTATTTATTATAGAAGGCAATGCTTGTAGACTATTCTACATATTATGCTCCTGAGAAACTGTGATAATTAATCTACTTTAATTACTATATGTATACTACATATTTTGATCCATTCATTTCCATCTATGTGTTCTCAATGCTTATAAAATGATTATTTGTAAGAAATGTAGAAAAATCTGATGTTTGAAAGTGATTGAGTGGTTTTTTATTTCCCCCTTTATTTATGCACACATTTTTCCCATAAAAATAAACAAACAATAGGACTATAAAAAGTAGTATAATCACGGTATTGACACGATTATTCGTCCAATATCTAATTTTATTTGGTAAATTACTACATAAGATTTTACAAACAAACCTGGCTGGAGTAGAGTTTCCATCTCCACTATCTGTTTTCTCTGGTTGCTTTGGCTTTGTAACCATTACTACTATAAATTTCTTTTCATCGATGTTATACTCTGACAAAACTGTTTCATCTGTAAGTATTTTGCCTAAAAAACAAAAGATTTGTTAGACAGTGTTATGAGAAACAAACACAATTATAATAACCTGCATAGATCAGTCTCTGGTTATCAGAAGGATAATCTTTTCCCTTTTCTGTTTCGATTTTTTGTTTAAGTTGTTTAACCTAAAACAAACAAGCCGATAGTGAAAAAATAATAATTAAATTAATAAGTATGTATACAATACCGTTTTTGTCGGTTCTATATCTACAATAAATGTTTGTTGCTGAAGATTTTTTAGTGTCACCTTCATGTTGCTCCTTTGAAATTAATAAAACAGTCTTAAAATAAAGTAAATAACACTATATGCAGCTAAATTTTTGTCCACTGTTCGCTATTTTCGGTTAAATATTTCTGTAAGATGATATAGCAGAACTGATAAATTTGGCGGCCATATTATAGTGACAGGACTGGACAGGACAGATAGCTTTCAAATGTCCACCAATACCAATACATACCAGGCATATTCATTTATTGCCACCGGTTGTTATTGTTTAAAAATCTATAATAAATTGCAAAATTCAAAGTAATTTCTAATTATTAAAAAATAGTTATCTTTGTATAAAAATAAGCTACTAATAAAATATGTATACTTTATTAAAAACATTTTGTGTAAATAGTGCTTTATAATAGGTTCTCAAACTATTTATAGGAGTAGGAGCTACGTAAGAGATAAAATAGTACTTTATGATATATTCATGTTTAAATCATCATTATTCGTTTTTAAAATTTAAATAATTTAAATCAAAACAAAAATAGTTTTACAGGTTTTGACGTCAATTTAGATTTTAAAATGTCCCATTCGCGAAAATTTGCCTATTTATTTTGATAAAGTTTTTTTTGTTTTTAGGTTAGCTTTGATTGTGTTTGATTTTACGATTTTAGGGCAGCTCTTCTTCCATTCTTCGTTCCAATTTTAATTGAGTTTCAGCTTACTTGTAAGAGTACCAAATTTTGTATTATTATATTATTTAAAATATGGCTCTTCAATTTTCAAAAAAGGCTGGTTTGGTTGGAATGCTAGTAGGAGCTGCAGTTATTTTGCATTTTGGGAATCATTTCATTAAACCTTTAGTTGTCCCACAAAAAAAATCTGAAGATCTAAACGCCCAAATGAGGAAACGGACTGAAGAGGGTATATAAATAAAGTAAAAGTAATTTTCAATCTAGTCAAGTTTTAAAAATGTTTAATTTTTATACAATATTTTATTAAATCAATTATTATTGGAGTATTTTATTTAACTTACACCTGCCTAACTGCTTTTTACCCACTAAGAACAACTAATACTAAATAAAATAAAGACGCAAGATCACATAATAAGAAGCAATATATAGTCTGTGACCAGACTTGGAAGACAGGAAAGAAATTTGAGAATTATGTGACAAAGAAAATGTTCAAACTTCAGCAACATTACAAGAGCAAAGTCTAAGTTGTCTACGTTTGGCTTTCACTAAGTTAGCCCAGTTATATCTGTCTTTTTGCCCAAAACTCGCTATCTGACTGAAACTAAGCTGTGGTAGCACTAGTAATATACTAGTACCAATCAGGAACAAAGACAATGATTAGCGACAACTTATTAATAATGGTTCTCAAGATACAGCAGTTGTAAGTCAGCAATATCTATTTAACATATACAAAAATCTCAAAATCCAAACAAGAAATATCCAGCAGGGACTATGCAGATTAAATATCAATATGCTGGGAATAAGGCACAGAAAATGAACAATCTCTTGACATTATTAAAGGATGAATCTACTATTTGGTAAATAGGGATACACAACATAGATATAGAGGCGCCATTATACTTATGAGAAGCTAACATAATCATTAATAGGCTTCATTCCGATATCCGAAAGAATTATATTGCATTTTCCATCTTTCATCTGAAAAATGTTAAAATCTGCTCGAATCAGCATCCACTCATTGTACCAGAAAGAACATTTATTGAGGCACAAAATACAATGAGAATGTTATCTATAAAAAATTACATACTTGCAAAATTATAGTGGAAATAACAGTTCCGTCAATTTGGTCAATTTAAATAATGTGAAAATTACAAAAGAATGAATCTTTCACAAAAATTCAATTTTCTTGAAATATTCTTGCTTGAAGACTGACCGCGAATGTTTGTTTCAGTTGCTTTACACAATTTCATTTGTTTCACCCCATTCAAATAATATTCCATTGTCCTCTGCAATGAAATAAGTTTTGTAGCTGTAGCTGCTAGATATTTGGCCTCAGCAATTCATAGACAAGTGTGTCACTTGACATAGAGTGTGTTTCTTTCCTTTCTGAGTTACAACCTTATTATTGGCTTTTGTAAGCTTTCCTTGTTTGATTGCACAATAGTTCCTCACCTGATTTTGATTTAAACTCTATTATCTTTGTAGTTTCTTCCACTATTTTATTGATTGACAGATTTTACATTATGTGAAAGTTCCAGCATCTTAAGCTTGTTCCCATATTTGATAAATTTTATTTTTTTAATGTGTTGAAAATTAATTAAACTACTGAATATTTAAAAAATTTTCCCGATATCGATATCAATTTTAAATTTGTATGTTTATTATATTTTTTTATTAAAAAAATTAATTGCACATATTACTAATATATTTTTAAATGTCTCTATTGACCCCCGGAAAGGTATACAGATTGAACGAAATAAATTCGGAAATATACGAAATATTATGTATTTTGGCTCAATTCTGCTGTAGGTGGTTGACCAACAAAAAGTTGTCAAATAACTGGATGAATAATTATATTATAAAAATCCAATACTTCAGCGGGTTGCTGGATTCTGAAATCATAAAAATTGAAAGCTACACATAAATCTACAAACTTATAGTCCAGGAAATGAAGCATTTCACCTCGCAATTTTTTCGTCCTGCGTGGATTGACTACGCAGAACGTGACTTTTTTTACGTTTTAACTACAAGTTTCGATTAAAAAAGTGATTCTAAACAAAAAATGTTCTATACATTTTTTTTTGTAAAACTGATATTTTTTAATATTCGCGATTGAAAGTAATAACTTTTAGACGAAAAATTCGACGTTTTTAATCGATTTTTCTCGAATAACTCGAAAATGGTGCATTTTATCAAAAAAATTGTAGAGAACAAATTTGTAGCTTTTAAAAAGACAAATACAATTCATTTTTTAAAATGTTTTTGCAATATAACAGGAACCGAAATAGGGCCTATCAATGTTTACCGGTTTTCTTCAAATGCCAAATTTGAAAGATTCAAAGTCAAATATCGGGAAAATGATGTATTTTTGGAAGAAAACTCACAGAACCCTTTTTAAAGAGCATAAATAGACCTATCATAAAAAAAGACTCTAGCTCAAAAATTGAGTGAGTTATGATGAAAATAAGGTCAATACCTCATTTTTTACGAAAAAATCGATGAAAACAACCCCCTAACCACCCCCATAATTAAAATCGATCTTCACCCTTCTGCAATTCTCTTTGTACATGTATTGTTAATACGTCCAAGAAGTTTGACCTATTTAAAACGCTTAATTTTAGAAAAAGTACAGCATAAAGCGAGAAACGATTTACAATTTCATATTTTTTACCCTTATTTTTTTAAATATCCCCGAAAATACTGAATATATGAAAAAAATAAAAATGTACTAAATTGTAGCTTTTTTAATGACTAAAATTTTCCTTTATTTAGATTTGTTGTACAATGAATATTTAGTATACTTTTTCGAGCCGTTTAAACTAACCCCATTTAAAAACCAAGTGTTCCAAAAAGATTTAATTCACAGATCCTTGTAGCTCTTAAAAACCTCTACAAAATCGTTTTTAAAGAAACACTCTATCGTTAAAAATGAAGGAAATACGTTAAAAAAAGCAATTAATTTTTTTTTCCGGAAAATTCCATTAGTATAGTCCAGTACATTTCGGAGCATAATAATCTACACAACCGGTATATTAGGTAGTGGGGCGTTATACATCCGAAATTTTAAGCGTTCTTATTTCAAAATCCCATACAATAGAATAAAACATCTGCTCATATGTTGGCATAATTTGGCAATGAAAATATCAGAGCAACAGATTGGGGATGGTATTCCAAAGATGGTTTGTTATTACCCGTACGCATGAACAAATAACCTGCACCCGATGAACTTTTGAAAATTATTTTTTGCCAATGCAAAAAAGGATGCGGCGTTTCATGTGGTTGCAGAAAAGTTGGTTTATACTGTAACTCTACTTGTTCTGGGTGCTCAGGTGAAGGGTCCAATAATAGTCCACCAATAATTGAAGAAGATGAGGATGACATAGATCACGATGAAGATGTAATTGATGACGAATAAAATTAATATTTTAATTGTTTCACCTATAAATATAAATATTTTCAACTATTTATGTAAATGTATAAGAATATATGGTGCCTTTTTATGTTGATAAAATTTTTTGTATTTAATTCTACTTTTTTCAATTTATATCTATTAAATTAGTTTATAAAAACTGCAATGTTGTAAAGGGTGATCTTCAAAAGTTAAAAAGTTGCAAAATTTTGGCAAAAAATTGTTTTCACCTATAGCACTCATAACAATTGATTTTTAAGGGTTGAAAATGTATGAAATTGTATTTTAAAGTATAAAAAAATCACTATTTAACTAATCCAAACCAAATTTCACTCATCTTAAGATTTGTAATGGTATTTTACAATTTTTGAAAATTAGGGGTAGTTTTCACTCCTAAGAACAATCAGGGTTCATCGGCATGACATAAACTATAAAGCAGAGGGTGAATTGAGCTTAATTCCAAATTTTTATGCAAATCGTTCCAAGGCGAAATCATTTTCTTCGCATTACTACTTTTTTTACATTAATCTTTAACAAGGGTCGCTTTTAAAGGGTTGAAATATGATGGAACTTTATTCAAAAACACGAAACTATCATTATTTAATCAATTCAAACCAAATTTTACCCATATTCAGGTTTAATATGTTATTTTATAATTTTTGAAAATTAGGGGTAGTTTTCACCCCTAAGAACAATCAGGGTTCGTCGACATGACATAAACTATAAAGCAGTGGGTGAATTGAGCTTAAATCCAAATTTTTATCCAAATCGATACAAGGCGAAATTATTTTTTTAGAATTAGTAATTTTTTTACTTTAATTTCTAACAAGGGTTGCTTTTTAAGGGTTGAAATATGATGGAACTCTATTCAAAAGTATAAAATAATTATTATGTAACTAATTCAAACCAAATCTTACCCATATTCAGGTTTAATATATTATTTTATAATTTTTGACAATTAGGGGTAGTTTTGACCCCTAAAACCCTTCAGCGCACTTCGGTTCGATATAGATTTTGATCCTTGGGCTATCACCTACCTTTTGTTAAAATTTCAACTCAATTCATGCAGGACGAAAAAATTGCGAAGT